TACAAAAACAAACGAAAACAAAACAAAAAGAAACACCCCAAGCCCAGCCTGAAAGTATACATTAGTGTTAATCAAAATAACTTTTTAATTACAATACATTGCTTTGGTTAGAAGAATTCTCCATGAAGTGACAAAAGAAAGGGCCACAAATCTTTTGAAATTGTCCAATGCTGCCTTTTACAATATGTCTGGTTTGTTCCAAGTGCAGAGTAGATATAGTAATATTATTATTATACTATTAATAATAATAATAAGCTCTTAAAAAAACATGAAAGAACTTTTCTGGAGGTGCTCATTGAAAAAAAGTTACATTTGTAAAAGAAACTTATGCAAATAAAACGTAATAAGAAATATCGTTAAAGACAGTAACAGGATAATTTTGACTACCTCAACCAATCCCACACTGTCCAACTCGCCATGCCAAAACAAGTGTTAATTAAATAACTAAACACTTTACTCGAGAATTTCCCAGTGATGGGTTGCAGCTGGAAGAGCATCTGCTGCATAAAACATATGCTGGATAAGTTGGCGATTCATTCCGCTGTGGCAACCCCAGATTAATAAAGGGACTGAGCCAAAAAGAAAATGAATAATTAACTTGAGAAACTGTAGGCGGCGACTAAAAATTTCTAGGTTGGAAATTCCTGGGAAAGTCCTAAAAGAGATTGAACAGTGTCTAAAGTCCAGATGGCCTTGCGATGATGTCTTAGGACCCCCCTCTAATAAAGGGAGTTCAAACAGCGCGACTAATGTGATGTGTAACAAGACACACTTCTTTTGTTTGCTTGCTGTGGGCAGTCAATGAACAGACTGTGGGAAAGGAAGACAAGCCTCTCGCACACAACTCATGGGAACCTGAGAGAAAGAAAGCCCAGCGCCTTATGGCACACAACTCTTATGTCTTCAGGCTTGCTGCTACAGGTGGTTTAATGTAGAGGAATCACAGTGGCTGAATCACTTATTCAACTCAATCTCACAAGAGGCTTCACATCTGCTAGCAGAAAACACAGCAGAAAATGAGTACTTTAAAAAGTGTGAAGTTCTGATAAATGTCTGAAAAATGTTATAAAGGTAAGATTTGTCTGTTTTCCTTACTATTGCACAAACAGAAACTTGATTTCCAAAATATGTCTGTAGAGCTGAGACTGGCTGTTTGTTTTACAGCGGCGACGCAATTAACATTCTCAATGGAGCAATTAGTGCATTGTTTGCACTCGTCAGATTAGAGCACCCAGGATGGTGGGAACGTTCTCAAACACAAACTCACAGCATGTCTGATATATGTGAGAAATACAAACGAACACACACAAACAAACAAGCACACACACATTGAAAATACAACATAAACTGTCTTTGAGCAATTCCAGTGTTATGGATGTGTCATCTGCAGTATAAACCTCAAAGCATATATTCCCAAAGAAAGTGTAAGTTAACATTATATTGAAACATGTTTATATTTTCCAAAACAACTAACCCCAGAGTTGTGGGATCAGAAAAATATCAAACTGTAAACATGTTTTAAATTTTAAATGATGAAAAGAAACATCCTAGTAAGCAGTTTTTGTTTTTAAAGATGTCTAATAGATGTCTTGGCTAAAAGTAGGCTAAATTTGGGCTGTCAGTAAAAATATAATAGACGTCTAATAATAGTCCAAAACTAAACTAGTCATCAAATAAACAGAAATGAATGACTGCACATATAAAGTCTGTCTAATCTGTCTATTTGATGACTAGTCTAGTTTTGGGCTATAAGATGTCTATTAGATTTTCACTGTTAGCCCAAGTTAAGCCTTGTTTTAGCCAAGCTGTCTACATTTAGCTGTCTATTAGACGTCTATTGCTGGGATTCGCTATGGATGTGACCAAAAAAAGTTACCTACTTCTGTGAATTAAACTGCACAACCACAACATAAATAATGCTAATCAAAAAGGATAAAAATTGGCTATAATAAAACATAAACGATTGATTTTATTTTATTCTGAATTTATGAGTAAATAAAGCTTGGTTATGGATGTGACATCTCTCAGTTGTGCATGTAGCAGTCAGATGTGAAATTGGCACTTGTGTGACTTTGGTAAATTAAGTATAATTGCTTGAAAACATTGACTGAAACATTTTTAAGTATTTTTAAAGTACTATAAAATACTTGCTTACACAAAAAAACGTACAAACAATTTTACTATTTTGGTAAAAACTAAATTTTTTTTATGGTAAGGTTGACATTTGCATGGGACTGCTCCTTTGCTATCCATCACAATAGAAAAAGGTAATGGGTTATTTATTATTTTAACTCATTGTTATTTGCAATAAGATGTATATACATACACTAGTTTAAATAATAGTGTGTCAGTGAAAAAAACCTGATACTTTAAAATTGCTGTAATGGATCGATTAACAATTGAACAAAAGCTGAAATCTATATCGGGTATTTTGGCTTGTTCGGAGGGTCTGCATAGTTTTTCTTAAGAACAGTTATCACCAATTTTGCACTGCAGTTAATGTGAAACAATGTGGTGTTCAAACTTCGCACAGTCTTGTGCCTCAAATTCAAGTGCCTTAGACCAGGGGTGTCCAAACTCACTCCTGGAGGGCCGGTGCCCTACTTTTCTGTAAATTGGCTGAATTTCAAACTGACTTTATTTAATGATATAGATAATATCCAAATAATGATGCTAACCCAGGGTTTAGAAAGGAACAGTGTTGTGAAACAAACCAGCAATAATTGAAATTATTCATATTTAAGACAAAAAGGAAATGGACAACCAAACACAAAAAGATGTTATGTCTTGTGAATACGGTTTGGACAGATCATTCAATCATTCATTCATTTTCTTTTCGGGTCGCCAATGAACCGCCAACTTATCCAGCATGTTTTTACACAGTGGATGCCCTTCCAGCCGCAACCCATCTCTGGAAAACAGCCACACACACTCATACACTACGGACAATTTAGCCTACCTAGTTCACCTGTACCGCATGTCTTTGGACTGTGGTGGAAACCGGAGCACCCAGAAAAAACGCAGGGAGAACATGCAAACTCCACAAAGAAACGCCAACTGACCCAACCCAGGCTCGAACCAGCGACCTTCTTGCTGTGAGGCGACGTACTTACTGCGCCACTGCATCGCCCCCGTTTGGACAGATGCTGTCATTATGATGCACAAGATCATTGTGAATTTGCTAAAGCGTTCTGTGTAACTTTTCCCCTTTTGTTTAAAATTCACGCACCATTAATAATCCAGATTCACCTGCTAGTTCTCATTGTTCTTCAAAACCACTTTACTCACGTGCTTGAACTTCGTCAGTGTCTTTCCCACAGTGACAACAGAAGCCGGGTTAAATGACCTTATTGGCTTTGGCGTCTGCTGGGCGCGTGATTGTGTGGACTGCAGGTCGCGCGCACAATGAATGATTAGCATTGATCTCTTCGGCTGCGCGCGGACTGTGTGGTGACACAAAGTGAGCTAAAGAAGAACTTTTATACAAAAACAATAATCATTATTTTACTTCACATAACTATTTTGCCGAACGCAGAATTCTAACGTCTCGCTTAAGGAAAATTTAAAATCTTCATCGCCCCGCGCGTGCCTTCACAGCTTTCACGCAGCTTCTCAGAGACACGAGAACTAACTTCCGTATGGCACGTGGACGCAACTGTTTTGTCACGTTAAACTTAAATGGAGATAACGGTCGTGTTGTTAACAGTTTATCAAAGGAGTATTCCTGGCAACGCGATCAAATCTGTGTTTCCAGCTGTGTCTCTCGTGCCTTTGATGCGGCAGACTGTTTTAACCACGTGCCATTGTCGACAGTGTGTGTAGGTCACTGTACTAAAATTAGCCTACTGTCTTATAATTGAGAATTAAATGCTTGCCCGAACATGTCGAAGTAGTGTCTTTATGGTTTCTAAAGTCTTAAAATGTATATGTGCATGTTTTTTTATTGTACAGTTTGTGCTGTCTAAAGTTTTGGAATACTAAGGTTACATGTGATTCATGTGACTTTTTTTAAATAAGTGTTGTCATGGTTTATGAAATGTCCTTTATTGCATTTCAATACTTCTGTTCAGCACAAAAGAAGGCATTTTAAAGAATATTTGAAAGAAACAGCTATTGACTTCCATAATATGTATGTCCTTATAGTTGTCACTGGCTGGTTTCCAACATTATTTAAAATATTTCTTTTGTATTTAACAGTAGAAAGAAAATCAGTTTAGAACCATTTGAGTTTGAGTAAATGATGCAGAAAGTTTCATTTATGAGGTAACCATCCCTTTAAGTGCATGCACAAACTTATCAAGCAATTGTTTGCATTATTAATTATACTTTATTTTTGTATACAAATGCATCAATTATTTAAACAATTCATGGTTTAGAGAGTTTGCTATATATTTTAGTCACACAATTGATGAATTGGATGCATGCATGAATCAAATAATTATTGCATAGTAACAAATTGCAATATAAAATTTTTAATCACTGAGCTGTTTGCACTTGAATCTTTAATAACTTTTAGTAACAAAAATGAAATGCATGCATACACATCAAACAAATGGTATGCTTTATAAAATATACTTTATTGCATATGTGTATATATAATTTTCATCACTGGACAGTCTGTGTTAGAGTTTCAATATTCAATATATGTTGGTTACACAAACTATAAATAAGAAGCATACATAATAAAAAAAATCATGGTTATCAAATATATAATTTTTTTTAATCTTTCTATCTGTAACTCTGATGCTCTGCATATAAAAACACGCACAACCTACAATTCCTTTTTTTAAAGGTCAAATTCCTTCACTCTCATACCTTGGGAAACATTCCTCCAGTGGAGGGCCAGCAGGCAGTTAACCATAAAATTAATGTCCTCTATTGTTGTGATGAGCCGGCCCTTTGGTCCCAGAGTGTGGGAACAGTAGCACAGCACAGGCCACATGGCTTTGTAATGGTAATGCAGTGGTATAAATACAAGCCTCTGCACCTCCAACAGCCTCACAATTCTTTTTGGCACAACATAAAGCAAGCTGTTCGAGCACAGACATGGCACCCCACTCAGCCACACTCGCCTCCTTTGACCATCTTCACTTCAGCGATAAGGAAAAAATAAAGGTATGTTCACTTTCAAAACATCATTCCAGCATTTCAACTAATTTGATTGTTTGATTTAGTTTAATTTATTTCAGCCTCCACTGACAAAAAATAGTGTATCATTCCTAGTCTTTATGTACAATTAATTGATGAATCACACTTTTTGCAAAATGTGACCCTGCAACACAAAACCAGTTTTAAGTTGTACAGATACAGATATGTTTTTGGCCAGTAAAAATAAAATGCATTGAATGGGTCAAAATGAATGCCAAAATCATTGGAATATTAATTAAAGATCCTGTTCCATGAAAATATTTAGTACATTTCTTACTGTAAATAAATTAATACTTTGTTTTGGATTCGTAACATGCATTGCTAAATAATTAATTAAAGATGATTTTGTCAGTATTTATGATGATATTCCAGATTTTCAAATAGTTTTCTCTATATATTTCTTGCTATAGACCTTAGAAGCTATACATCATCAATGGAAATTCATTTAACATTTATGTGACATTTAGAACACAAAATTACACTAGTTTTTGGTCACACTTTATTTTGATGTTCTGTTTGTTGAATATAAGTTACATTGCAGCTTAATGTCAACTAATTTTTATTAGATGACTGTTAGATTGGGGTTAGAGTTGGTGTAAGTTGACATGTACTTGCACAGCTTCTTATAGTCAGTTAAATGTCTATTGAATGAGCAGAATCAGCAGATATTAAGCAGTCTACTAATACTCAAATGGACCATCAAAATAAAGTGTTACCTAGTTTTGTGATCCAGGGTCATGAATTTGATGATGCAGAATACATTTCTCAAATGTACAAACATAATTCCAAGCATACTAGAAACAGAAATATAACTAAAATACGTTCACAGTTTTTAATGTCATAATTATTTATCACCTTTTATTGACACATTTTCTTAAATTTGCAAAGCGATTTACAAATATGACCTCCCTGTCACATGTATTCAATAGATTTACTTCTTTGACTTTGTCATGTTCTAATTCCATTTTCATTTGCTTTCAGCTGAGGAAGCCGATAGTTGAAAAGATGCGTCGGGATCGAATCAACACCTGCATTGATCAGCTGAAAAGTCTCCTTGAGAAGGAATTCCACAGTCACGATCCCAGCACCAAACTGGAAAAGGCTGACATCCTGGAAATGACTGTCAGCTTCCTGAAACAGCAGATCAAGCAACAGCAGCAGATCCCTCAGAGAGACTTTAATGAAGGCTATTCTCACTGCTGGAGAGAGTCTGTCCACTTCCTCTCGCTTCACTCCAATGCTGGAGAGCTCCAGCATCTCCACAGTGGCCCGAAAACCAACTCAACCATGGGCTCTACTCCAGCAACAGCCTGCTCTAAACTGAACACAGCTGCTTTACAGCACCCAGACAGCGTGAGGGCCGTCTGGAGACCCTGGTAGAGATCCTGTGGACTGACAACCCTGAGGGACGGTGGTATTAACATCTCTCATAAAAGTAGGAGATATGGATTTCCAAAGCGTATGTTTATAGTTGTCATCATATTGATCGACAAAAAACTGTTGACGAACACGTGTTCGTCTGGGAAGGAGGTGGATTGCCTCATCCTTAGCTCTTAATGCTTATGTATTAATTCAATTGTGGTTTGTATGCATTTTTAATTGACTCCAGTGGAGTTTGATGTATCAGAACTTTGAACTGATTTTGTACTTAATAGTTCCATTTCTGTTTGCACTGAGGATTGTTTGTTAGGTGAGGCATTTTGTACCTTTGATAAAGGATCCAGTTTGTTATCTTGACCAATGATGTGTTATTGTTTGTTTGTTGTTAGTTTTTTTTTTTTTTTTTTTGGGGGGGGCTCTTATGACAAATTTTTAATCAATGTTTGCATGTTTCAGACCCCTGTTTTTTTACTTGCTTAATAAACTGCCGCAAAATGTGCAAGAAGTACAATAAAAAGCATTTTCTATGAAAATATTGAGTGAAGAATTTGATTAAACATCATGTTGGGGAATTTCATTAAATATCACTTGTAGGGAATATGTGTTCATTTGGGTAAACTCACTCATAATTTGTGTGAATCGTCGATTTTTTACTTCGGAGTAGTTCTATTACATATTTCTGTGTTCCAGAATAATATAAAATCAAATTTGTGGGGTTATATTGCATAAGCAGGTAACCAAGATTTTACGAATTCTTCAGAAAATGTAACTTTTTTTTAACAACTGAAATCTTCAATACTCAATGTAAAAAAACATGATGAAAACAACTAAAATGCTTGATATAGTCATTTCTATAAATCATTTTTTGCAAATAAACTCTTCATATAAAAACAATAATTCAGTGAGTTTGATTTCAGGTTGTATTTAAAACAAAAAAAGTGAACAATCCACAGAAAAAGACAATTAAAAACATTTTAACAATTCACTGAAAGGGCATAAATAGTAAAAAAAAAAAAAAGTTAAAACAAAGAAAGACAGAAAAGAAAAGGGAGTGTAAGACAGTTTCTTCCTAAATACAAGAAACAAACATGTGTTTTGTAAATTGAAGTAAAGTGCTATGATAATTCTTTTTGAGGTTGAGAAAAAACTAGGGATGCACCAATATGTATTTTTTGGCCGATATCAATAACCAATGATTCTTAAGATTTGGAGGCTGATAACCAATATATTATAGCCCATAATAATAAATATTTCAGAATGTTATATTTTTATACAGTGAACAACTGAATTTATTTTTAAAAACTTCATAAAAGTTTGATCTGATCTTAGAATAGCCTACTTAAAGCAAAAAATTTATAATAATAATTTAAAAATTGCAAAGTGATGATTATGTAGACTCATATTCACAATTTTTCATAAATCAGCATGCCAAAAGTAAATTATTTCCTTTTCTTCGCCTAGCAAATTAACATGCAACTTGACTGTTAAATAATAAAATGGGATTTAATTAACAAACAAGTTAAATAAAATGAAAATGAAATAACTAATTGAAACCAGCTCAGATGTTCTTGAATAAAACGTGTCACAGTAATGTACATATGTAGAAATATGTAAGGCCACACTTTATTTTGATAGTTCGTTTGCTGAATTTAAGTAACATTGCAACTAATTCTCAGTAGATGATTAGTAGATTTTTAGGTTGAGGTTGGGGTTAGGGTTATTGTACAGACATGTACTAGCAAAGTTTCTAATAGTCAGTTAGATGTCTGTTGAAGGACTGTTAAATGTCAGAATCAACAGATATTAAGCAGAGGGTCTACTAATACTCGTATGGACCATCAAAATAAAGCGTTACCATATAATGTCCGAAAAAGCATTTTGAGAGGTGTTTTGACAGTTCAGAGCCACCACACAAGCGAAAAGCTGAATTTACTTTAGAAAATGCAGCATAAATTCGTCCTATTTAGTGTTTTAGATTCTTTTAACACATGTAGGTGCAACATGTATACATTAGATACCAAACAACCCAACAAGTTGTTTAATAGTAGCAATGCACATGTGCTATGTTTACACATGTAATATTTTTCCTGAGGTGATTTAAACCAAAATACACAATGACTCTCTATCAAACAAATCTACAATGATAAGGAATATGGCTACTTAATGAGATATTAACACACAGCAATACCACACAAAAAAGAAAGGAAAAACTTTGAAGGAATAAACAATGTGAGGCAAGCTCCGTTATAGTGCACTGGACAAGTCTGAACAAGTTCAACCTATGCATGTGCGAGGTAAGCAGTTCTGTACAGTTACGTAATTTATCAGCTTAAAGATATCGGCCTAATTTTGACATCTGATTGATAACGATAACATTAAAAATAGCATTAATCAGACGATATATTATGGCCGCCGATATATCATGCATGTTTTTTTTTTGTTTTTTTTTGATGGAATACAGTAAGTTTTTAAATAATATGCAATAATAAAGTATTTAACATTTATTTCAAGAGCAGCTGCATCATTCTGAACTTTCAGGCAGTGCACAAATATCAGGTTTCCCTCAGCACAGATGGGTGATGTCAAGTCAAGAGAATTACGCAGCCTCCCCTTTACAGGCACACTTCTATTGTTGTCCCCTCCTGAGAATATCACACTCACAATAGGGAAAGTAGTGTGGGAAACACTTCCGTGCGCCCAACTCACACGTTCCAGAGTCAATGGAGATGACCTCCCGAACAACAGCCAGCCTTTCATCCAAGCTTTTCCCAGGGGCCGTGCAAGTGTGTGTGTTTCACTGAACATTAGCCAACAATTACAAGATCAACAGTGGAGACTCAAAGTCTGCAAGGAGAAGCTGAGATTTAGAGTTGAATTTGAACATGATAATAAATGGGATTTTGAATATATATACATCACTTGCTTTTCACAAGAAGTCTAAAATCTGTTATTTTTGCCAGAATGGGTGTCACAATAAAAGTTTTATTTCCAAGTCACTAATTAAAGTAAATTCATGGTATTAATGGCTACTTTTTGAACAGATGGTCAGTTGTTTTTCTATTACTGCTTCATGATGTTCTATGGATCATTGCTGGAGAATATGATCCTCAAGTTTGACAATAAAATCCTATGACGTTCATGCAGTTCTGAGAGCTGCTCTCATAAAAGAAAGACAGCAATAAAATATATTTGAATAAATAAAAAGCATTTTCCAGTTTGTCTTTCCCTTAAATGTTATTTCTAATTATTTGTTGAGGGTTAAAAATCTTAATATTGATAAAAACAACTTGAAGTGCTTATCAATGCAGATTACTAATCAAAGACTCATTTTTCATATAGCTACAGTAGGAAATTCACAAAATATCTCAATGGAATATGAGTTTACTTACTATTCAAATTATTTTTCGCATGAAAGAAAATTAGCAAATTTTAACCCATATGAAATATTTAAGAAAAATATACTATACAACATTAGACATGCATTATATATACAGTTGGGGCAGCACGGTGGCACAGTGGATAGCACAATGTGCTATTGTTGATATCCATGAATTTTTAAATGTACTTTTTACAAGAGAGGCTATGAAAAAAAGTTCTACATTATTATTATTATTATTATTATTATTATTATTATTATTATTATTATTATTATTATTATTATTATTATTATTATTATTATTATTATTATTTAATTGTTTAATACTCAGACAGCACAATGGCGCAGTGAGTAGCACAATCGCCTCAAAGCAAGAAGGTCGCTGGTTCAAGCCCCGGCTGGGTCAGTTGGCGTTTCTGTGTGGAGTTTGCATGTTCTCCCTGTGTTTGCGTGGGTTTCCACTGGGTGCTCTGGTTTTCCCTACAAGTCCTATAATGTGGTATAGGTGAATTGGGTAATCTAAATTGTCTGTAGCATATGTGTGTGAATGAGAGTGTATGGATGTTTCCCAGTGATGGGTTGTAGCTGGAAAGGCATCCGCTGCGTAAAACATGTGCTGGATAAGTTGGGGGTTCATTCCACTGTGGTGACCCTGGATTAATAAAGGGACTAAGCCGAAAAGAAAATGAATAAATGAATAATATACACAGTTAGGTCCATAAATATTTGGACATCGACACAATTCTAACATTTATGGCTCTATACACAAACACAATTGATTTGAAATGAAACAAAAAAGATGTGGTTTAACTGCAGACTGTTAGCTTTAATTTGAGGGTATTTACATCTAAATCAGGTGAACACTGTAAGAATTTCAACAGTTTGCATATGTGCCTCCCACTTGTTAAGAGTCTAAGCATTTAAATGTCACTTTAAGCTATATAGAACTGTCTTGAAAAATATGTAGTCAAATATTATTTACTGTCATCATGGCAAAGATAAAATAAATCAGTTATTAGAAATGAGTTATTAAAACTATTATGGTTAGAAATGTGTTGAAAAAATATTCTCTCCGTAAAACAGAAATTGGGGAATAAATAAAAAGGGGGACTAAAATTCTGACTTCAATTGTATATATAATTCTAAAATAATATTACAATATAATTAGAAATATGACCTGATTTAAATATGATAATATAAAATAAAACATGACCTGTTGGAATAGGCAGATGTTAGATAAGCTAAAGGGATAGTTCACAAAAAATAGTTCCATAATCATTTCCTTCCCCATCCATGAGTTTCAAACCTGCTTGAGTTCATTCATTTATTTTCCTTCGGCTTAGTCTCTTATTTATCAGGGGTAGCCACTGTTGAATGAACCGCCAAATATTCCAGCATATATTTTACCCAGTGGATGCCCTTCCAAACACAACCCAGTACTGGGACACTCTTCTTGAGTTGAGAAACCAAAAAAATAGAAGGTCTGAGTAAATGTTGAGTAAATTCAACAAACTGTCACTTTAAAAAGCTTTAGGGACAATTAAAAAACAAAACTTCAGTGCACATTTATAACGTACAGAAAGTTATGGCATATGCTATAATGTTTATAATAATCCACTAATTTGCGAGTGTGAATGAGCCTTTAAGACTTTTATAAAAGACAAAGAAAACAAATGATGCCATCTGTCCTCAAATCTGCCAGACCAAGATCATGACTTAAATCAGCTGGCCAACGAAATCTTTTCTCCAAGTTGTCTGGAGTGAAACTGGGCACCCATGAGAGCGGCGCAAATGACAGATGTTCACGCCGGGCAGACCAACCGATTGCTCTGCCCTTTTCTCTAGCCAACACAATTAGCCTTTCTCTGTCATTCTGCCCACTGGCTACACATATGCCAAACAGTCACAGTCCAAACACAATCAGAGTATCGGCTGAAACTGGGATTATGTTGCTTTGTATTGTTAGCAGGCTCTACTGGCTAATCCTAATGCTGAAAGGACACAGTAAAAAGTCCGATCCGCTTTCACTGCTTGGCCATGGTATACATTTGAATGCAGTTTTGAAAGTGAGCCGTTGTATTGAGTTGGGGTTTAATCAAGATTATGTACACCTTTGGCAAGAAGTATCCGCCGAGTATCCCCAACACGCTAAGAAGAATCGCCCCTACATTTAGTGCCATGACGAAGCTCCCTCTGGAAATACAGTAAGCTGTAAAGAACGTGATCCAAGAAATCATGTAAATCATAAGGCTGAATGTGATGCACTTGGCCTCATTGTAATTGGCTGGCAGATCTTTGCCCATGTAACTCAGGCAGAAGCAAACTAAGCTCAGCGCACAGACAAAAAAGAGCTCAGCAAAGGCACTGAGAGACAGAGTCTTGCTGCACTCCAGGACAATGCTGTCATGGTAGAAGTTGTAGTCCTGAGATGGAAACGGGGGGTCAAGGAGCATGCGGAGAACAGAGATGAAGGTCTCCACCACCGTCGTGATGAGGATGAACATCTCAGGCCCTCGATTCTTCGCCCAGGTTTCATAGGATCTTGGCAGCTTGGAGGACCACTTGAATATACAAACAACCTTAACAAAAAGAGACATTTATGTGTTCAATCCAGAATTCAATTTAAAGTTCTCTTACTGATGCTTAGAAATGGCCATAATTTCAATGGTAAAAAAAACTGTAAAAATGCTAAAAGTACTTTATAAATAAATCAACTTGAACTTTAGAATGTGTTATTTTTGTATTATAGTTGATTTCAATTAATTTACACAAAATACTAAGCCCTGCATATAAAATTGTAATACTGCTAATTCATTAGCATTCATGAGCACATAACCATGATTAGCTTATATATTTATAAAACTATTATTTTAAATATCACTTATTATTAATGTACTACTGTAGCATTCATTTTAATTTCAAATGAGCTTGTATTGATAGCCTATATTTTTCAATTTTCATTTGAAGTGATTCACTTAATTTTTTTTTTCAGTTTTAATCATTTTAGTTATTTAGCTTAATCTAATTTCATGTCAAGGCAATGTTTATCATTTTAATGTTTGTAAATTGTTTAACCTCCTATTGTATTTCACTTCAGTTTATTTTATGTAACATTAACAATGCTGTTTTTAATCTTTCAAAAGTAGAAAACTATTTTCCTAGTCATTTAGCTTAAATTATTTATTTCATTATAATTATAATTTTGCTGGTATTGCTTGATTTCAGTGCTGCATTTGACACTATCCATCACAGCATACTTCTGGATAGGCTGGAAAACTGGGTTGGGCTGTCTGGGACAGTCCTCAAATGGGTCAGATCTTACCCTGAAGGGAGAGGTTACTATGTCAGTACGTGACCATAGGTTGAGGTGGACACCCATAATATGGGGAGTTCCACAAGGTTAAATTCTGGCACCTCTCCTGTTCAACCTCTATATGCTCCCACTGAGCCAAATAATGAGAAAGAACCTACCACAAACTTCGTACCACAGCTATGCAGACAACACTTAGATCTACTTAGCATTGCTGCCTAATGACTTCAGCTCCATTGACACCCTCTGCCAGTGCATTGATGAAATTAACAGTTGGATGTGCCAAAACTTTCTTTAGTTAAACAAAGACAAAACTGAAATCATTGCATTTAGGAACAGAGATGAGGTTCTCAAGGTGAATGCGTACCTTGGTTCAAAGGGTCAAACAACAAAAAATAAGGTCAAGAATCTTGGTGTGATTCTGGAGTCAGATCTGAGTTTCAATAGTCAAGTCAAAGCAGTCAGTAAATCAGCATACTGTCATCTCAAAAACATTGCAAGTATTAGATGCTTTGTTTCCAGTGAAGACTTTATCAGCAGCAGGGTGGATTACTCTAATGGCCTCCTCACTGGGCTTCCCAAAAAGACAGTCAGACGGATGCAGCTAATCCAGAATGCTGCGGCCAGGATTCTGACCAGAACCAGAAAATCAGAGCACATCACACCTGTCCTCAGGTCTTTACACTGGCTCCCAGTTGCATTCAAAATCGATTTTAAACTATAAATCTCTTAATGGCCTGGGACCTCATTACAGATATGTTCACTGAATACAAACCTAACAGATAACTCAGATCTTTAGGATCATATAAACTAGAAATTCCAAGAGTTCAGTCAAAGCAGGGAGAATCCGCCCTCAGCTATTATGCCCCCCGCTGCAGGAATCAGCTTCCGGAAATGATCAGATGTGCTCCAACATTAGGCACATTCAAATCTAGACTGAAAGCACATGTGTTTAGCTGTGCTTTTACTCAATGAGCACTGTGCTACATCCAACAGATTGCACAACTATGTCTTTCTTTTCGTTTTCATTCTTTTATAACCTGTTTTAACACATTTAATCTGTTTTTAATCAGTTTTTAATCATTTGTATTATTTGCTTTTATGTTCTTTTACTTGTCTCTTTTACCGGTTTATGTAAAGCACACTGTGTATGACATTTGCTATATAAATAAACTTGCCTTGTTTTGCCTGTAATTAATATTATATATGTATCGAGGCCAGCAAATAAGTGCTGTGCAGGTAAGCCTCACTCCTCTGACCTCTAAAGATGTTTTAGTGACAGATGAGGCCATGGTCTTAAGTCGCCTAGGTAGAGCAACCAAATCCCATGCGGAAGGTCGATGTAGGACCGGTGGGAGTTACATATAGCTTTTGCAAACACATTCTTGTATTTTTAAAAGTAAATGGCAAATAAATTTTGGGGCTAAAAGTAATTCAGGCTCCACTAAACAGACACATGAAAAAGCAACAGGTGAATGATATGGAGAGCAGAAGCTTTCATTTCCTCTCAGACAGCCATTTGTGTTTTTTTTTTTAAATGAAACAACCCTCATTTGTACCTTTTTTAACCTTCAAACCAGTTTACAATTTCAGAAGTCAAGTTTAAATGCATTATATGAACAATTACACTACTAAATTGATCAAATCAAATGTGCTTTTGTCAACCCCTGGAAAAAATGGACAAACTCAAAATATTTCAGACCTTATTTACGCCTGTATTTAGAATCATGCACTTGTAATCATCTTAACTAAACATATTTAAATACCAGGTGTAAACAGGGCCTTAAATAATGCAGAATGAATAACCTAAAGCCATTAAAGCTTCACAACATTTCCAATTAAAAGTACCTGAAAAGAGCGCACAGTGACACAGGCCAGGCACACAGTGCAGCTGATGACAAAGAGGGGCTGTTTGAGAAGGCAGCCGACACGGGACGGCCTGCTGAAGTGACACAAGGTGCTGCAGCAGGCCACGATCATAGACACCAGCATCAGCAGACAGGTCTTTCCTCCAGCCGACTTCACCACAGGAGTGCTGAGATTCAGCAGAAAGACCAGCGTTGTGCCCAGGGTCACAAACAGAGTCACGGCTAGATAAATGATCAGGGCTGTGGTGAGAGGAGCGCCCCAGGACAGGTACAGCTCTGCCCTCGGCAAACACACCTCGCTCTCTGCTTCAGACCAGTCATCTATTGGACACGGCTGGCAGCTGGTGTAGCCTGGAGGACATGTGAAGTGAAGCTAGCATGAGACACATTTGAAATGTTGCATATTAAGGCTACATCAAGGGGTTTCAATCTTTCACATAAATAAATGTAAGTAAATATAAGTAAATACAAGTAAATAAAATAAATAAATTTAATTAAATAAGTAAATATAACATTTCTTCCTACTCTTTTTCCTACTCTTTTATTTTTTAATTCACTGTACTTAATTATGCAAGTATATTTTGATAAATATTAATACTTCTAATATAATTTCCTATATTCATTCATTTTCTTTTCGGCTTAGTCCTTTTATTAATCCGGGGTCGCCACAGCGGAATGAACCGCCAACTTATCCAGCAGGTTTTTACAAAGCGGATGCCCTTCCAGCTGCAACCCATCTCTGGGAAACATCCACACACACTCATACACAACAGACAATTTAGCCTACCCAATTCACCTGTACCGCAAAACTTTGGACTGTGGGGGGAACCAGAGCACCTGGAGGAAACCCACCGGACGCTGGGAGAACATGCAAACTCCACACAGAAACGCCAACTGACCCAGCCGAGGCTCGAACCAGCAACCTTCTTGCTGTGAGGCGACAGCACTACCCACTGTGCCACTGCGTTGACAATATAATTTCATGATATTATTAATAATCTCACTGATTTTTGAAGTGCTCTTAAAGGGATAGTTCAGCCAAAACAAATATGTACACACCATTTGAATTTCATACTTTTGTTGATCAAAAAGTATGATGTTGTGAATTAAGTTGAAAAAGAAAAGAAGTAGCCCTCATTGACATCTAAAGTAAAAAGTAAATTCTATTGAAGTCAATGGATAATTTTTGCCAACATTCTTCAGTATATCATAATTTCTGTTCAACAGAAGAAAGAAACTCATACAGGTTTTGAACAAGTAATGAATAAGTAAACGATGACAGAATTTGTATTTTTTGGTTACTATCCCTTTAATGTGTGACACGGTGGTACAGTGGGTAGCACTGTCATTTAACAGTAAGAAGGTCGCTGGTTAGAGACCCAGCTGGGTCAGTTGGCATTTCTGTGTGGAGTTTGCATGTTCCCTCCATGTTTGTGTGGGTTTCCTCAGGGTGCTCCGGTTTCCGTCACAGTCCAAAGACATGCGCTGTATGTGAATTGAGTAAGCTAAATTGTATGTGTGTATGTCCTGGCTCTCCAGGTTGGGGTTTGAGGGTTGGGCTAACAACCCACCTCATAAAAAGAAGATGTTACGAAACACCATGCTACGGCTAAATATCAACTTTGATATTAATGGCCCCAAGAGAAAGTAAGTATCCCTTTTATGATAAACTTTCTCAAAACCCATTGCGGCACACTGGCAGAGTTCTCTTAAAGTTGAGAACAAACATTTGTTTTGTAGTCTGAAAGCTTTTATTTGGATGTTCATCCAAAACTATACTTAATTCTTCGATTCAGAACATTAGAAAAATAATAAACTGGAATGGCGGATAATTCCGCTGTGGTGACCCCGGATTAATAAAAGGACTAAACTGAAAAGAAAATGGCAGCTGGAAGGGCATCTGCTGCGTAAAACATGTGCTGCTGGATAAGTTGGCGGTTCATTCCGCTGTGGTGACTCCAGATTAATAAAGGGACTAAGCCGAAAAGAAAATGAATGAATGAATGAATAAACTGGAATGTTCCCTAAACATCTGCATATCCAAAGTAACATTTGCTTCTAAGATTTAATAAACGCTACATTTTTATTTTTTTAGAAAATATTCAGAAGTAATAGTTCTTCATAACGGCGGTTCGTTCCGCTGTGGCGACCCCATGAAGGGACTAAGCCGAAAAGAAAATGAATGAATGAATAAGTTTTTCATAAATAAGTATATTTGTTATATACTTATATAGACATATTTGTTTAGCACTTTTCAGCATTTTCCAGGTAAACAAACAGAGAAGGAAGCCAAGCCACAAATATATTAGGCTGACTAATAATTCTCTATACAAAAGCAGATTTAATGAAAGCGACAGAGGAGTCAAAACTGAAGAAAGTGGGCCGCCTGCTGGTTATTTTACAAATGACACACAATGTGCAACCATTCTGCTCCTCTTTACTTGTACTTGATATTTAAATGACATTTGTGGTGCTTTTAACCTGTTTTGTTGAGAAAGGTGGCCGCAGGGCATGCCATGCAGTCAAAGCAACACTTATGCTGTCCTGTCATCAGCTTTCTGAATCCATAAGGACATTCCGGAGAACATATAGACTCAGGAACCTAAAGATTAAAAAGAGAGTGAATTTTATTTCCCTTTCAGGCTTCTTATTAGTCTTAGAAAAAGTGATTTAAACTGATTTGTGAGCAAAAAAAGAATGAAATTTGACATATTGATTTTTTTTTCTTAGTATAGGCTTTAATGCTATCTGACAATATCACAATTTCTAATTATTATTCAAAGTTTTGCCAATGGGTAAGTTGAAATTGCAGGACACTGGACCTCTAGGAACAAGTTTGGTGATTCCTGGCTTAGGGTAATGGAATTCATTTATAATTTTGGAATTCACTAAAGCTGTAGCTCGTTTATAACATATAAAATAACATTAATTTAATACTAATACTGAGCATTTACTGTTAATTTTAATAACTTCTTATAAAATTTATTCTTGTGGAGGCAAAGCTGAATTTAAGCAACATTTTTCTAGATATTCATTAGATATCATTTTAATACACTCAAAAAATTACTTTTTCTGCTTGATCAAACTACTTATTTAAAATGAGTTAAAACAACACTTCTTACATTTTTATTTTGGGACAACTTAAATGTTTTATGTTCAAACTACTTAAATTTGTAAAAATTATTCAGTTAACTGAATTGATTTGTGTTGGGAAAGTATATAGAAATTGAGTGGAATCCAGCATTTTTACAGTGTTTGCTGATTTTGTGCCCAAAAAATCCTGTAACATCAACATATTAAGTTTACATGTAACTGCTGACAATCATATGGAATTATTATAAAAAAAGGAATTATGCAAATAAATAAATATGTATATACATTTCTTTAACAACAACAACAACAACAAAAACAGTAGGCTATAGTAAATACTGAATATGAAAAATACAAACTTACATTGGTTACAGGAGACACTTGTCCTGACCAGTCAATCTGAGAGTCGTCTAAATGAAGATCATTGGCACTAGGACTGTAATTTCCCACCACCTTAAATGACCACAACCCATTCGTCCATTCCCAAGTCACTATGTCATAACCCGTGGGAGGGTCTCCATTCTTATCAAAGTAAAATGATGCATTTCGGATGGAAAAGCGCACTTGTCTCAGCTGCTCATAAACCTGAGGGATTTTAAACATGGTGTCACAAATAACACAAACACTTCAATCAATTCCATACTGTGTCTAATACTATATTGATCACCACTAACCTGCCATGGCTGCACGTCATATTTCTGACACAGTCCAGAGTCACAATCCAGTACATTGTGCAGCGCATGAGCCACTGCGTAAACAGCCTTATACACATTAAATGAGGAGGTAATGTCGTACTGCGACAAAGAAAAGCCATTAATTGCTATATCGTAAAGGTTTGTGTTTTGCATACACGGGACACTGAGGTTAAATTGACCAGGGTTTTTTAGCCCGGGCACAGAAAGCCTTTCGTAATTGTCAAAACCATCAAATTCAGTATATTTAACAGCAACACCAATGACTGTCCCTATCATACTGATTCCTGGAATACTACTAACCGTCGACGCCACTGACCAGTCCTCTGTCCCAATCCACACTTTACCCGTCACGTTTTGGGCAATAACAAAAGGAAAGAAACCTGCAGCCCGTCTCTTATTGGCAAAGACAACTATAGTGTTGACTTTAGTTTTGAGGATGTTTTTGACCATGTCTTGCATGTATTTCTTTGTGCTGTCTGTTACCGCAGGGATCTGGGCTTGGTATGCGATGCATATATTGTTAAGTGGAGCTTGCTCTGATAGGCTTTGCATTCCCTGTATACCATATGAATTGTCACTACCGAGAAGGGCGATCCAGGTCCAGTTAAACTTGACGAGAACCTGGATCATTGCGTTGACTTGGTTTTTGTCGCTTGGAATGGTGCGGAAGAAAGATGGATAGAGGAGCTTGTTGCTAAGCAGTTCATTTGTAGCCTCGTAAGAGATCTGCAAAAGACAAAGAATATAGATGGATAGAATTGAGTCAAAATAGTAAGAGAGACACTTGGAAATTTCTCTGGATGTTCTCTGAATCCAAATGCAGGTTTCATTCAACAGAATGGTCAGGCAAGCAACACTCAACTCAGGAACAAACAGATGTATACAGGCAAATCCAGAATCATGGTGATATAACAGGCGGATGGTCAAAATGCAGGAAGCAGGCAGCATAAACAAACAAACAAGGCGAGGGTCAAAACACAACAGAGCAAGGCATAAGAAACCACATCGTAATGTTCAAAAAAACACTATGACAAGACTCAGCACTGAAGTGTGTGTGTGTTTGTGTGTGTGTGTGCTGTTTATAAAGTCCTTCTAATCAGTTCATGAGCAGCTCCCATGTGTGAGTGTGTGTAATCAACCCAATGAGGAGCAGGTGCGTGTAAGCGGTGCATGACTGAAACTAGTAGTCCATATACTGGCGGATTTGAAGTCCTTTAGCAATCTGCGTGTTTACCAGTGATCTGCTACACTGTTAACCCTTACTGTAGATTATGCAGTAAATAACTGTAAAATAGCCAGTGTTTAGCTGTAATGAAAGGAAACAGTATTTTACTGTAAAAGAAGCAGGATTTGTATAAAATTCTGTAGTGCGAAGAATAAATCACAGTAATTTACTCTATGTACCCATTACAGATATTTACTGTCATAATAAATGGTAAATTACTGATCAACCATTACTGCCCCATCTACTCTGATGCTTTATGTTGCTATTTATTTTTATTATATAATTCTATATATTTATATGTATTTACTGTTCAGTTTTGATATGTGAATGGTCAGTATTGAGGGGAGAGTGGGACATTGCATTGATGATAAGCTGAATTTCACTGCAGTCATGTGTTTTCTTTGGTTTCTTTTATGTTTTAACATTGAGTATCAGGAGTCAACCAATGCCACAGAGATCATTAAAAGCTAAGCATAAGATATGGATGAAAGGCAAAAATATTCACACAGAGCAAAGAAATTGTCATAATAATTCTTATAACTTTGTTTACGTTTCTATAATTAGTCTAATTTGCCTAATTTAACCTATAGTTCAGCTTTTAATTTGCAATTTCAACTGAATATTAGTATTTTGCTACGTAAATGACTAGTAAAAATGTGTTATTTAAAAAATATATATCTTAAACAGCACGTACATACATGTTTGCAGAGACTCAATGAATTTGTTTGGAAAACTTCAATTAAAGTAAGTAAAAGTGGCATTAACAGTATAGTAAAAAGGCTTTCCTAAAAAAAAAATGTATTAATCATGTCATTTTTGTGTTTTTTTATTATTACTACAGATTTGAAACGACATGAGGATCAGATTATTTATTATAATTTTTTTTTCCTATGGATGAAGTTTGCATATTTTAATTGTTTTTATTAAACAATATGTGCATAATTGTGATAAATGTAGGCAGTTGCTTTGAAAATATGCTATGCTCCAGGGGTGTCAAACTACTAGAGGGCCGCAGCCCAGCAGAATTTAGTTCCAGCCCTGCTTCAACACACTACCTTTAGATTTAGTTTGATCAGGTGTGCTTAATTAGGGTTAAAGCTTAACTGCACGCTTACCCTGTAGATTATGCAGTAAATAACTGCAAAATAGTCAGTGTTTTGCTGTAATGAAAGGAAACAGTGTTTTACTGTAAAAGGAGTAGAGTTTGTATAGAATTGTGTAATGCAAAGGATAAATTACAGTAATTTACTTTATGTTCTGTAACAATAAATGGCAAATTACTGTTCAACCATTACTGTCCCATTTACTCTGAAGCTTTATGTTGCTGTTTATAGAGACGTGCATTTTAAAGGCAGAAGACAATGATTTAGGCCTCACCACACTCCCACAGGCTGTCTTATTCTAAACACAAAGGTATTAGAAAAAGTTTTCAGAAAATGCTGGCCCTTTAAGGAAGTCAGGTGTTTGATTTGTTTACTGCTGAGTGTGCTCTATTCTCTGTCTATCAATTCAGATGTAGAGTCTGATGTTTTAGGCTTTAAATAAGAATCTACAATGAGTAAGTAAAATGTGTTAAAATGTTTTTGAGGGTTTCTAAAATATGGCTGTGTTTTAAGTTATATTGTTGTTATCTTGAACTGTGTACTTGATAGCTACATTGTTAGCTAGTTAGCCTCTCCTCGCTTTAAGTATATTTATTTATTGGATATTGCATATTGCAATAATGTACAGATGCTAAAAGTTTATGCACATAAAAACCAATAAATTCCATCACCTCAGTAAGGTAACATGTGCACAGAAATCATCACAGGGAATCACAAAAAAATATGATACAAATAACTATCCACACACAAAAGCTCCACTGTCAGGTCCCAGGTTGTGAGTTTGTTGCTAAGTATTTTTCAGAGCAGTGTTTCCACCTATGAATTTATATTAGAAACAATAGAAAAGTTTGTGGTCATGAGATTTTAAAGTAGATAATAATTATAACAATAAAAGATTGGATCCTTTGGATTTGATAGTATGTGTGTGTTTTCATATGCTTATTTTTTAATTATTTGAAACTTTAAAAAATAAAATAAATATTTTGTGTTTTTTGCTGTTTAGTTTTTTTTTTTTTTGCATGGCCAGCATTGAGGAAAGAGAAACACATTTTACTGCAGCACTTTCTGTGTGTGTGTGTGTGTGTGTGTGTGTGTGTGTGTGTGTGTGTGTGTGTGTGTGTGTGTGCATGCGTGCATTTTTTTATTTGATATGTATTTGTGATAAATGTTGCCAATTGCTTTAAAAATATGCTATATACCATGGGGGTCAAACTCCAAGTTCCTGGAGGACTGCAGCGCAGCAGAGTTTAGTTCACACCCTGCTTCAACATTACCTGTAGATTTCTAACAAGCCTTAATTAGTTTGATCAGGTGTGTATAATTAGAGTTACAGCTTAAAGTCCCAGTCACACTGCACTTTTCTCCCTTTAGACTTCCATTCATACGCATGTGAATGCTGCAGACCTGGAATGCTAGCTCATGCGAAAAATTTCACTGTTCGCAGTATTGGAAAGTTCAAGCTTGGAGTTCTCTGAGCTGCAAAATCACATCATGTGATTGCTTGAGACCAATCAAAGATCAAATTATGACCTGTCTGAACAAAAATTTAAACTATGGACCAGTCGCTTGCTTTTTCAATCTCTTATTATTTTGTTTAATCCCACTACTTTTCGCAGTGCCGTATGACAGAATTTTGCATGCTCAATTGTTAGTGTGACCGCAGCCTTACTGTGCAGACCTGTAATATGAAAGATGACATTTATATCTGCTGATTTCTTAATTTTGTTATACATTTTCTGTTGTATATTTGTTTGCTGCCAAAACAATAAAATACATTTGTCTAAATTTGTATGCCTTCTATTTTTAATAACAGGTAAGAATACTAATTAATTTTAGTAAGGCTATAACATACTATTAATGTGTATGCAGTATAATGCTGTGAGTTGTAACCCTACAGTACAGTAATTAACTGTACGCAGTTTCCAGTTTGTTACCACTCCTGCTCTATTGCAGTAATTAACTGGCAACACTGTTGCCAGCTACTCACTGTAATGGTTCGGTTACAGTAAATAACTGGCAACACTGTTGCCAGCTACTCACTGTATTGGTTCAGCTACAGTAAATAACTGGCAACACTGTTGCCAGCCACTCACTGTAATGGTTCAGTTACAGTAATTAAATGGCAACACTGTTGCCAGTTACTTACTGTAACCAAACTTTTACAGTGAGTAACTGGCAACAGTGTTGCCAGTATTCTACTGTAAAAACGCCCGGTAAGGTCTAACAGTGTAGGATTAGATCGCCGGTGATTGTGAAAATGCTAATGTAATGTTAAAGTAAAATGTTAATATTATTGTATTTACTATTTAAAGTTTGATGTGATAACATTTCTTCCAAATTTCAAATGAATTAATTCTGACAATTAATCAGAAGAATAACATATATTTTCATTTATTGTGATCAAAAATCAGGGTTATTCCACCAAATATTGTTTTAACTCTTCTTATCGGCATTGTGTTGTCTAAAACCAAATATAAACATAAACATGTTGATTGTTTTTTCATGTTTTTTTATTTAAAATTTGGAGGCAATGTCACCAGTAGTTTACAAACTAAAACAGAAATGAGGTTTTATGAAGACATATGTCTACTTTTTTATTTTATGCAAAAAAAAAAGAAGATATTTAGGCATTTAAATTAGTTTTTACAGTGTTCCACAAAATGTGCAATGCAAAAACATATACGTAAATTTTAAAAAGTTCCTAATTTTGTGATTAATGTTTTTATTATTATTATTATTATTATTAATTATTTTCCTTCGACTTAGTCCTTGTATTCATCAGAGGTCGCCACAGCGGAATGAACCGCCAACTTATCCAGCACATGTTTTATGCAGTGGATGCCCCTCCAGCTGCAACCCAACACTGAGAAACACCCATACACTCTCATTTACACACATACACTACAGACAATTTAGGTTTTACAATTCACCAATACACATGTCTTTGGACTGTGGGGGAAAACGGAGCACCTGGAGGAAACCCATGCCAACATGGGGAGAGCATGCAAACTGCACACAGAAATGCCAACTGACCCAGTCGAGGCTCAAACCAGCGACCTTCTTGCTGTGAGGCAATTGTGCTACCCACTGCGCCACCATGACGCCAAAAGCAGGATATAAATGTGCTTAAAAATGCTTCATTTTTTAATGAAAACTTTTTAAAACATGCCATTCTTCATTTTGAAATATTCTGTTAAAACTTCACCACTAAATTTTCTGGGGCTATACATTATTTTAATAATCAGAAATTCGTCAATGACTGAGAACGTAAAAAAGTTCCTTTCATTAAAATAATAACCTATCTAAATAATCATGCCATACCTGAGGAACCAGGAACACCCCTAGTGCAGCTGCTGGTGTGAAAGCATAGGAACTACTGTCAGGGCCAATGATGGCCACCGCACGGCTGTCCACAGCTGAGGGGTGCAGCTGCTGGGCCAGCAGATCCAAGGTGGCCAGATTGCTGGCTGGGAGAGAGCATATGTCATATGTCCGGTAGCCCAGTGTGACCCCAGGAAGGAGCTGCTTGTCCTGGGTGCCGTTGTTAATTTCGTCTACGGCATATCTGAAGGCCTGCACCAGATGATAGCCATGCTTGTTGGTCAAACCTCTGTAAATAAAACAAAAGCAATAGTTGTTTAAAAACCAAATCTACCAGTCACTAATCAATATATTGCACTTAAAATAATAGTTCATCCAAAAATGAAAATTCTCCCATCAATTACTTAGCTTCCACTACCAAACATGTTTGAGTTTCTTTCTTCTATTAAGAGAACAAGATATTTTGAAGAATGTTGGGATGTGGTAGCCTCGTTTACTCTACACTGGCAGCAGTTTGCCAGTAACTTAAATTAATTACAGCAGAATACTGCATTTACATTTACACTACCATTCACCTTGATGTGTGTATATTTACAGTCAGGGTTTGACATTAACTTTTTGATCACCAGCCAGTGTGGCTAGTAGTTTTCCAACATTACTAGCCACTCGTCATTCTCGCTAACCACAATTTTGTTGTTGGGAAAATAAATTTTATATACATAAATATGACTTTGACAAGCTAAAATGACTTGATTTAGATTTTGTGGAATGTCCACATGCCTCCTAATTCATTTGACTTTTTGTGTATGTTGTGTATGAGCTTGCTCAGTGAGCATGAGCACATGGGTCATGCTTTCATAGTGTCGTATTACAATTAGTTTTTATTTCACATGACTTTTCAGAGCTCAAAGGATTTACCAAATTTATCTCTAACCACACTAAAATAAAGAAATAATTTTAAATAATGTGTCAAAACTAGCAAAATATAGCTGTATACTATACTTTTTATTTAATAAAACATTTCTGTAAAAAAAAAAAAAAACAGTTGACACCAGTTAACTACACAAAAATGGGAAGTTAATATGCTATATCCTGTTTAAATAATGGTTAAAGCGAAAGCAACCGCTGCAGCTTACAAAAAGACCAATCTGGAGCTCTTGAAAGCAACAGAACTGTGGGTGGATGAACATAACTTTTTGTCTAGTCTATTTGAAAGACAACCGATCATGCCAGTTGTGTTTCCAGGCATTGTTGTTTCAAGCAAGGAAACGGGAGCGCGCACGTGTTTTAAACAGTCGCACGCATCATATCAGCTGTTGGCACAAGTGATTATCCTCTCATTCGCTATTCAATTGACTTTCTTTTGCCCGCACGAACAAAATTATACTTGTCAGTCTTGCTGCTTCTCGATTCTAAGATCGCATTTGCACGAATATTCGGCCATCCTTATTGTCGAACCCCGCTTTAAAACTACAGTTAAAAAAATAATGTTCAACCAGCCAAAGTTGCAAGTGGATTTGGCTGTCTAACCCGCCACAGCTAAAATCTACCCGCATTTGGCGGGCGTTAATGTAAAGCCCTGTTTACAGTATTCTAAATTTTAACTGTAAAAAAACATTAATTTTTCCAATGTAGTTTTAAAATACAGTAACATACTGCATAACTGTCCTACAGTAAAATTCAGTTCATGTTACAGTTTAGTTGGCCAGTAGCTTACTGTAAATCAACTAAAGCAAAAATACTGTATTTACAGCACCATTTACCTTGCTGTATTTACAATAATGTATATTTTTACTGTAAAAAATACAGTAATTTTTACAATGCAAATAAAATACAGTAACATATTGCATAACTGTCCTAAAGTAAAAATTCAGTTCATATTAAATGCTGTGTAATTTACAAAATCAAATAAAAAATCAATAACGTTGTACTATGGTACACTTCTGAGTGAACTCATTCATTCATTTTCATGTCAGCTTAGTCCCTTTATTAATCCGGGGTCGCCACAGCGGAATGAACTGCCAACTTATCCAGCAAGTTTTTACGCAGCGGATGCCCTTCCAGCCGCAACCCATCTCTGGGAAACATCCACACACACACACACACACATATACACTACAGACAATTTAGCCTACCCAATCCACCTATACCACATGTCTTTAGACTGTGGGGGAAACCGGAGCACCCAGAGAAAACCCACGCGAAGGCAGGGAGAACATGCAAACTCCACACAGAAACGCCAACTGAGCCAAGGTTCGAACCAGCACTACTTACTGCGCCACTGCCTGCCTTTCTTTAAATATAGATTTTCATTAAATGATAATAATATTTTGACACAGTACTTTAAGTTTAAATCTTGATTGAAAAACAATTAATAAATAAATAGTAAAACTCTTATGTATTCATTTCTTTAAGACTTCATGCTTTTTAGACCTAAAGAGAATAAAACACATACCAACATAAAACATTAACACACCATATATACAAACTCAACTAAAACTAAACATTAACTAAATGACAAGTCATATTATTATTAGATTATAACAGGCTCATTCTTACTTCTTGCAGTCATTCAGGTAAGGAGTTGGTGGGATGGTGGAATCTGAATTATGCAGAGCAAACCAGCCAGAGAGGATATAATCTCCTTGAAGGTGGAGACCTGTGCTGTCACTGAATCTCAAGAGACAGAGAAACACAAAATTGCTCAACATCGTTCCCATAATAGCCGTGTTTGAGCTCTACACTAACAGATGAGCTTATAAACTCTCTCTTTAAGCCTGTCCACACTTTCTCTATAGTCTGCTGGTGGCAAATATTTGCATGCTATACGTGTAATACCCACAGAGAGATGGATTTGCCTGAGGAAATATGTTCAAATGACTACTGCAAATGTAAGTAAATGTAGACAAAGGCAAATGACACAAGATTTTGATATACAATATTAAAGGAATAGTTTCAAACTTTTATCTTTTTTTTTATCTTTCTCTGTTAAAAACAAAAAATAAGATGATATTTTAAAGAAAGCTGAAAGCCTGTATGAATTCCATAGTAGAAAACATGTAAATATACTGTGGAAGTCAATGGTTACAGGTTTCCAACCTTTTTAAAATATCTTCTTTTGTATTTTGTAAGAAAGAACTTCATAAAGATTTGTAACAAGTAAAGAGTGAATAAATTATGATTTTTTATTTTCAGGTGAACTATCCCCTTAATATCAACTACAACAGCAATAGTGCTTTTACTATTCTTCAATATTCGAGGCTGCCAAGACTGTGAGTGTGGTATTTCTTTAGACAACAATGCAATATATAACAAGAAAATATTTTTGCTGATTAACTTACATTTTAGGCACAGAATAAAGACATAAGGTCATGTAATATATTTTTGTTTCCTGAAGTAAAAAGGCAGAATTAAACATCTCAGTGACCGTGCAGAACTGTTATTTTAGGTCCAGAAATAATCAATAATATTGAATGAATCTTTTGAGCGAACAACTCACTCTTAAAGGGATAGTTTAGTTAAAAGTTAAAACATTTTTTTCTTCCTTTTTTTCTTTCTTTTTTCTTTTTTTTTTTTTTTTTTACAAATGAATGTTAACAAATGTTTTAAAACTGTGGTTCTTTGTCATTTTGTCTTTTTTTTACTTTGCTTTCTTACAAATTATTTAAATGAATTTTCTTGGTTATTCGTAAATCAACCAACAGCACTTAAGAAAAAAAAAAGTAACATCATTGCCTGTGACTCCTTACTGCGAGAAATTCATTTATCCAAGTAGACCTATTTGACTGATTGGTTCATTAGCAGCCTCAAGTATGGAGCCAGATCAGTCTCGAAAATAATACATTTACCAAATAAAATACATGCACAGCACAATTCACATTTACAAAATCCAATTTGTAAGTTCAAAAACTATTTATAAATACAACAAACAATTTGGGGATTCATAAAGTAAAAATGACAAAAAGTATTTTCACCAAATGAATTGGATATGTGTATATTATATGAAATGTGTTTTAAGCTTACAAACTGGATTTTGTAAATGTGAATGGTGTTGTTGGTGCGATGTATTAATTTTGAGACTGATCTGGCTCCATACTCAAGTATTACTTTTGCCCATATGTTTTTTCTTTTTTTTTCTCTTAAATTGCTGGTAGCTGTTGACTTGCATTTGATGAATCACCAAGAACAAAAAATATTTCAGGTAAAAAAAATCTACTTTAATGACCTACTAAAGAAAAACAGTCACCTTCATCTTTGATGAGGCGTTGGAAAATTTCCAGCAAATTTGAGTTTTTGAATGCATTCCTTTTGGGTGAGTTCTTGGTGAATTCCTTTCAGAACTCATGTTTCATCCTTGAATGAAAATGTAAATTGGAATAAATCAGAGTCAAAAATCATTAAATGACTTGCTAATAAAGATACCATGTAATGAGTCAATTATTCAGCTGAAATTGTCCAAGACGGATCAATCAGATTAGAGCTAACATTTTTTATTATTTGGAGAAACTTTAATCTTCATTTAAATTTTCTGCGTATAAACAATCCAACATTTTATAATGGCTACAAAACAGTTCTCTTTAAACATTTAACTTATTCTAGTGTGACAATGTGACACCATAATGATCTTCTTCATCTGCAAAGCAAAGCTGTATTCCTACAGAAACGTGATTTGTGTCTCACCAATCGAACCACTGGCAATGCATTTGCCTGTCTCAACAGCTTTTCCCAGAACTTTGACCTATAAAGTATAACCACAGTTTTCATTGCTCCTCTAGAGTGGCGTTGAGCATTACCTCTGTACTCGAGCATCAGGCAAATGTATGTAAAATAAGTGAGAATTGCTCAATCATGCAAAACCAAAATTTCCATGCGAAATCTGCGACAAAGTCGAAACAATATTCCCCCTCATAAATTATGATAAAATATACAAAAGAACTGAAAACGGTCGTAAGGCAAACTTTTTTTTATTTAAAACCCAGCATAAAATCAGACTACAGCTACATAAGACTTGCATAGTCCTGTCAAAACGCTCATTTCTTTAGTATACAGCACAAACTAAAACATTTATTAGAAAGACCCACACTTAAGGCAAGAAATATGAAATCATAAATTCTATCAACACATAACCTCTGAATGACCGTATAGAGGATAATAAAAAAATATGGAATGATTCATTTCCATTAATTAAAAAAGGCAATAATAGCAAACCTTTACCTCCGTCACCCAGATACTGTTTTTCAGAAATCAACCATGAAATCAAAAACATAATAATTTTTATAAGATAATAAGATCATTAATACATGTAATATGGTAGCATGAACAACCATTTAGTTCTAAAAAAAAGAGTTATATATTGTATAATAAATAAAAGACAATTGTTTATGTTATAAATCAGTTATTGAATAATAATCCAAAATCTTTTTCAAATTTTGTGTGGAGAAAGGAACTGTTGTGTGGGTTATTCTTAGGAAACGATGGCATTACTAACAGTAAACAGGGTTCCCACACTTTCATGGACACCAGATTCAAGGACTTTCAAGCACTTTTTAAAGTACTATCAATTTTAAATAAAGAACCTTTGTGATTCATACCCATGCGCAGCGCCATCAAAGTCCTTACTGTACTTAAAAATTCATTCATTTATTCATTTTCTTTCAGCCAAGTTCCTTTTTTATTGAGGACTGCCACAGTGGAATGAACCTGCAACTATTTCAGAACATGTTTTCGCAGCACCCTGATAACAATTCACTTACACTTCAAATTTTGACCGTTTTAAAGAGTCATGTTCAAAGAACTTGAATAAATATGTTAAATTCAATACTGGTGATATTCAAATGCGGTCACTGAAATATTACAGTTGTTGAAACAAAATCATAAACAAATTTAATTTCAAATTTCATTCAAGCACTTTTAAGGACCAATATGTCCGTAATTCCAGTACTTTTGAGTACTTTCAAGAAGCGTGGGAACCCTGAATAAAAGTGTTGTCTATAAGGTTTCAAATTAATTGTGAAAATGTTAATGAAATAATGTTCCCTAATCATTCAGTCTAACATAATTATGTAAAAGTAAAGCAACATACTCAGACTTGTAAGAGTATGTTAATATATTGTAAAAGTACATGTGACATGACAGATAAGGCTAATTCTGATGACACACAAGACAACGTTTTGAGCAATGTTGCTGGGCAATATTGCAGAGCACTGTTAATTGGCTATTTTCTTATTGAGAATGAGCAATAGTATCTTATCTGTATACCATTGCTGTAATTAGTTTCCCTGTGTCTCACGTAGTTACTCATTTGCAGCATCATTTCCCAAGGTTGCCCCGTGTATCATCAGCAAAAGTGAACATTATTTGATAAATAAACTATTGTTACACTGAATGATATTTTGTGGATGCCTTAAATTATTTTTGTTCAGAAAAACTCATATTAAACTGGGCATGCTGTATATGTACTGGAAACAATGGAAGCTGTATTACAATTACTTTTATGGTGCTTTAAAACAGGATTTTTTTCTCTTTGACTTGTTTAATAAAACAATATTTACAAGTTTGGTTTGATGTAATGTCTGAAAATTGACATCAGTACTCCATCCAATAATAATAAAAAATGTACATTTTATTTGATTGAAATCTAAATATCATGCGTTTATTTTTAAGTTTTTTCTAAAACGTTTCATGCATTTTCTAAGAAATTTGTCTCTGGGCGGTTCATTATCGTTTGACAATTTCTTTTTCTGAAAAAACATAAAATATATTTTATGAATTTACAAAACTGTATAAAAGTCAAGGCACAGCAAATCTGCTTTGATATTTTGGATAGTATACTCTGATACTATTTTTGCAACATTAAAAAAATATTTTAGATTATTATTTTTAGGGAAAAAAATGTGACAATTCCAATCCAAAAACACTTATCTTTTACTTAGAACGACCCACACTCAAAATAAAAGTAACAGCAACATTTCAGTATCTCTTTTCTTAACCTTCCGACCCCTGAGGACATTTATATTATGGCTTCCAAATCCTAGGATCATCCATCACCTCATTTCACACATCTCACAAATTTGGATGAAAGACATGACTCAGGATTTAGGTCAACAACACAAAGCATGTAGTCCAAAATATCCAGAGAAGAAATATAAGGCAACTAAGACACTGTGTACAGCACATTTGTAGGCACATGAGTTTGGGTTTTTTACTGCTACTCTCCAACACTGAAAGAGCAAATACAAAGAAACAAAGGGGAAAAACTGCACTTGAGGAGAATCGCCTCACACACAGTCGCCTTACTCACAGTCTGTTTCCAGCAATAAGAATCACAGAACGCACCGTCAGCCCAGTCCAGATTATTGCATAGATCTCAGTGCACAGTGGTTTAGTTGACAGTTAACAGTTGGTAAAAACATCTGGACTCACAGAATATATTATTTGTGTAAAGCATACTGCATGATCAATCTATTGACTATTGTGATGTAAAGTATTTCAGAGCTTGATTTTGAGTAATACCTTCCTGTTTTAATCTGTCTGTTGGTTGCAACACAGGCTCATTCTAAAAATATAGACCTATATACAATTCTGGGGATCGCGAATTATGTAGCCAGAAGTATGTATGGCTGTATTTCGTTTTTAAAACGAACGCTACAGGGCGGTATGACACTGTTCCTTTTCGCGCTTACCAGCTGACCACTAACCTCCACATGGATGGCTTTCACGATGTGACCAGTTTGTCCAGTTAGCTCGGCATGTATGTCGGCGGACTTGAGTAGAAGAAAAAAGTTGACCACGTTGACAGGGTTTGAGTCTGGCAAATAACGGTTCCAGAAAGTAGGTAAGACAAAAATAGAATCCAAAAGATAAAATAAACAAGTGAATAACAGTGTGAGAATGTGGTAAAATCTGAAATGTAATAAAATCAGGGTTTTTTTTTTTTTTTCTAGATTGCTTTTTAAAACTGTCGGTCGGGTTTAGGGAAGTGGGTGGGCAGGTCAATCAGTGCTTTTGAAAACATTATTGGTTGGGTTTAGAGAGGGAGGAGGGTGGGTCAGTCGATTGGTCATTCAGTCAGTTGACAGCGGGCTCTGGTGGATTTACGCAAGAAGAGCAGGTGCGAATGGCAAGTGAAATTTGAGATCTAAATAAGCAAACACAGCAGCCTCTGGTAGACTCATGAAAACAAAAATTGCAAAAAAAAAAAAAAAAAAACGTAGCTCCTGCGACATATTTGACGCTCTCCAGAAATGTATATGTAGGTACAGAATTAGCCTGTAACTTGCATTTTAGATTTATGTAAACAAATAAGAAAGATAACAGAAATTATGTATTTATAAATAAGTAATAATAATATTACATGATTTTTAAAACATAACTACTATTTCTAATAATAATTATTATTATTATTTAACTCCTTACCTGCCACACCTTTTTTTAAATGTGAAAATTGTTGGTGATATATGCATATTACATAGATTTTGTCATGACAATTTCAAATGTATTACAAAATTTATTAAATATGTACTGAAAAACATACCACCTTGTGGGATGGTGACAGATAAGAAGTTTTTTTTCTTATTATTTCTTAATAATATTATAATTTCATAATATTGACAAAATTATTTGTATATTCTAACATGGGTCACACTTTACAATAAGGTTTCATTACTTAATGTTAATGAATGTATTTACTAACATGACCTAATAATGAACTATGCTTGTACAGAATTTATTAATTATCGCTCAAAACTTACTTATGCATTATTAAATTCATTATAGACATTAATTAAGGTTTAATTAAAAACATTAAATAATGCACTGTGAGTTCACATAAACCTTATTTTGCTTGTGTGAGTAACTAACATGAACTATTTATTCATTGATTTTCTATTTGGCTTAGTCCCTTTATTCATCAGGGGTCGCCACAGCCAAATGAACCGCCAACTTATCCAGCATATGTTTTACGCAGCGGATGCCCTTCCAGGTGCAACCCAGCACTGGGAATCACCCATACACTTTCATTCACACAAATACACTTTGGACAATTTAGCTCACCCAATTCACCTATAGCGCATGTCTTTGGATATTGGGGGAGACCAGAGCACCCGGAGGAAAGCCAGGCCAACACATGCAAACTCCACACAGAAATGCCAACTGACCCAGCCGAGGCTTGAACCGGCACTACCCACTGCGCCACCGCACAGCCTAACATGAACTAATACAACCTTATTGCAAAGTGCAACCATAATATGCATAATTAAATATGATATCCATCTAATTGTAAAGAGTGAGCCTCAGTTAAAGCTACAGTGAGGAAGACTATGGAGCCATGCCTTGGCAGTGCTGATGAAGAGGGAACAGGTTTGTTTTGGATTAGTCCTGCTCTAAGACAGCTTTTAAAGCACCAATACTTGCTCTTTGGGAATCTGAAATCCCACACTCAGCCGTACTGTGTATGAAAAGGTTACCAGACACTTAAAAGAGTGACTGGTTCACAAAGAAGCTGAGAAACCAGAAGGATGAAGGGCTGATCATCATCTGACTTCTCCATTCATTTCCACTTCTCCGTCTTTTTCTCCGTCTTTCAATCCATCGGGCTCCAGCTCATCCTGAATGTCATCAGTGTTTCCTGAATCACTGCTGGCCACAGAGCTGAGAGAGGGCGATTGTCTGCAGCCAGAAAAAAAAAGAGGAGAAAATGTAAAAAAAAAATCAGGTAACTAAAAAAAAGCTTTAGGAAACTTTTAATGGTTAAGTAAAAGTGATTTGGGCTAGCAAAATTATTTAATCTAATTGAAGATTGGATAAGCTTTATCCTACAGTATTCTCTATGCATTTACTCATACTATCACTGCTTCACTTCACACTCCTCAAACTGAAGAAATTTGACTCTGATATGGTTCTTACACTTTTCCCGAAGTCAAATTTAATCCCTTTTCAAACACTTTGGCAAATTTCATCACAAGTGTGGCAAACTTCATCACATCACATCATATGCAAATCGTTATTGTGTTTTATGGTACACTGTAAAAATGAGGGCTTCCACACAATTCATTCATTCATCATGTTGTCCCAACACAAATCGACTGAGTTAACTTAATACTTTTAACAAATTTATGTGGATTAAACATAAAAAAACTTTTTTTTCCCCAAAGAAATCTCAAGAATTGTGTTGTTTCAGCTCATTTTAAATAAGTAGTTTGAACGAGCAAAAAAAATTTTTTTTGAGTGTAGTATATAGTATCACAGGTGAAAGATTATGTGCATTTTAGTTAAGTTGCATTTACATTGATTAAACTCTGATGTGATATGATGGGTTGACCTGTGCCTCAACCCCCACAAACTGATAGGTGTGAACTAAATGACCCTTTAACAATCTCAATGGGTATTAGCAAAACAACAGCTGAAACATCTGAAGAGGGTCCTGCTGAGCCTCGTAAACAGAATGGTTTGTTTGATGCTAGTATAAAGTACTGTCTCACAGACAGTACTTTGGGTTAAGTTACTTGAAGACAGACGGGTTAACATCACTGCTAAGGAACTGCACTATTGATTGTCTTCAATAAAGTCTTCTCTCCGTAAGAACTTTGGTCAGTTTACTTATTTTATGTATTAGAGTAATCTAATACATTGGCGAGCCACCCAAGAACGGTTAAGCCAAATACAGCAAAATCTAACACAGGGTAAATGTTTGATGACAGGTTTGCCTTAGGCCTAACATTGAATTACTGCCATGTATAAGAAAGTAAGTATTTATAACAAAGTTCTAAATTGGGCAAAGAAGTAGGAGGCATGAAGCAGTAAAGGACACATAAACACCACAACAAAACAAAGTATACTTCACTTAGACCAGACACTTAAAAAATGCTGTTTGTTCAAACTACTTAATTTAAATAAGCTGAGACAACACAATTCTTGAATGTTTTGGGGGACAACTGAATTGTTTTATGTCCAGTCTACTTAAAAGTAATAAATAAATTTAACTCCTTTATGTTGTCACAACACAAATCAATTGTGTTCTTTACAATGCATACAGTTTAATTTAAAGGGTTAGTTCACGCAAAAATTACATTTCTGTTTTGAAAAAACAAAAACAAGCAAAAATTACAATTGCTCACCCACATGTCATTCCTAACCCTCAAAACCTAAGATTGTTTTCAAAAAATTAAGATCCTTTAGATTAAATCTGAGAGCTGTCTGATCCTTCTAGACAGCAATAAGTCACAAAAGTTAAAAGTTCACAAAATACATCTTAGGCTCTATTTTGACGGTCCATGCGTAAAACGGAAAGTGCAGGGCGCAAACGCTTTCAGGGCGTTTCAGAATCCATATTTGCTAATTTGAGGATGGGAAAATTCGCTTTGCGACGTGGCGCATGGTCTAAAAGGGTCGAGTTTATTTTCTTAATAAGTTAAAGGTGTGTTTTGAGAATAAACCAATCAGAGTCTCATCTCCCATTCCCTTTAAGAGCCAGCTGTGACGTAAAGTAAGTGTAAGTGGAAAAACTGAGCATTTCACAAGCAAACAGTTAACAGTTTTTTTAACAGAAAACAGTTAAACAGAGCATCTACCGTGCAAGAATGAGAGATAATCAATCTACTTTAACTTTCGCTCTTGGATAGGGAAACCTTTACGCACCGACTTCAATTTCATTTAATTTCATTTTCTTGTCGGCTTAGTCCCTTTATTAATCTGGTGTCGCCACAGCGAATGAACCGCCAACTTATCCAGCAAGTTTTTACACAGTGGATGCCCTTCCAGCTGCAACCCATCTCTGGGAAACAGACATCAATTAGCCTATAAATAATTAATTTTGTTTGTTAAGCATAAATATTTGTTTCAAAACTATTTCTTAATTCATTTCTAATTTCCAGCAAACGAATAAATGAACAATAATAATGAAGTGTGCTCAAAAACCTGAGGTATATCCTAAAACACATGCTGTGCCCCATATGGTCTAAAACCTGCAGGTGGGCAAATCTAAGCTTGTTTTTAATAAAACAAATATAAAAATGGATATAATAAATAATACTGCTAATAATAATAATAACATTATACAAAAGCAAATTGTTATAAATGAACTGAAAAAGCCTCCTGAGATGAAGAAGGCAAAAAAGCAATGGTTTTTCATATTTATGTAGGCTAGAAAATAATAGGTTTTGTAATATTTTAATCCTTTTATATTTATTTCCTGTATATATTCTTAATATATCCTATATATAGGCCTATCCTTAATATTTAATTTTTTTCATATCATAAAGATATTTGCGTATTGCTCTACATCTTGTGTGTAGGCTATTAAGCAGTGTGTAAGCGAGGCGCAACTATGCGCTGGAGTTTAGACCGGGTTTGTTTTGGTCTAATGAAAAATCTACTATAGTCTCTCAAAATAGCAACGTGCCAGCAGTGCGCCTCAGAACGCCTTCCTTTTTAGACCAGAACGCCTATGGGCGCACATACTGTATGAGCGCAAATGCATTTGCTATTTAAAGAGCGTGGCGCAACGCCTCAAAACGACTCTGGCGCCAAGCTGAAACTAGCAAACAAGTATTGCCCCGCGCCTTGCGCCACATTGCGCCGGGTGTATGATAGGGCCCCTTATGTTCATTGGTTCAATCGGAACATTAAGAAACTACGAGAATAATTTTGTGCACAAAGCAAAAATAATGAATTTTTTCAACAGTTTTTTCCTTTTCAGTATTAGTATAGGGTGCACATTCACAAGCACTGTGCAGTGATGTACAGTATGCTGATGTACAGTACAGTATGCCGCCCTAAGATTCCAGTGCGTGACTTCCTCTGTTTGAAACAAAGCATCAGAAGACCTTAGAAAACACGTGAATAGAAAACACGAGGAATAGAAACTGTTGAATAAAATTGTTATCTTTGTTTTATGTGCACACAGAAGTATTATTGTAGCTTGATGATATTCTGATTGAACCACTGAAGGCATATGGCCTGCTTTGAGGAAGTTTATTTAGTAGTTGGGACAGTTGCTTGTCTATGGCGAATGAGGGAGCTCTTGGATACCACCTAAAATATTTAAATTTGTGTTCTGAACATGAACAAATGTTTACACAGCATGAGGATGAGTAATTAATTGCCAAACTTTAATTTTTGGGTGAACTAACCCTTTAAAGTACAGCTAAACTGACCTGCCGGTTGGGGCCGTGCTTTGGATGAGCCTCCGGCAGGTCTCCATCTGGACATCCAGGCCTCTCTTCATACTGCACATCTCCATGTACTCATGCAGGTGTCTGTTCATGTCATTCTTGGCTGTGGCCAGTTCCAGCTGTAAGAGCAAGACTGTGGTTAATCTTAAATAAACTTGAGGCAAATGTCAGATAAAGCTCGTCATTCACAAATGTTCTCTAACCTCAATCTGTCCGATTGTGTCCTGATACTCCTGCTCTCTGGTTTTAAACAGAGACTCTGTTTCATGTATGAGGCTCCCCAGACTTCGATCCTAGTAGGAGAGTATATGCATTAATGTGTTATGTATTATTAACAATACTGTCAGGAGTGGATTTATCTCTGTTTTATAGTTAGTCCAGTCAATATTAGCAAGACTGCATATTTATGAAACTTCACATTTGAGAGACATACAATAGAGTATTTTTAGGCAACACACTGCTTTAATAAAACACTAAAATTCAAAAGTGTTTGAATGTAAGGTTTTTACTATTTAAGTTTACACATTTGGAGATGAAAAAAGCGTATCAAAATTTATAAAAGCAGTAGTACTGTAATATGTTTGAAAATGTAATTTCATGTGATACTACAACTTAATTTTTAGCATCATTAATCCAGTCTAACGTGTGAAATGATCCTTTGGAAATAATTTAGGTAAGTTGAATTGGCATTTAAAATATGGTTTATAAATTTTCTCTTCTGATTGATTTAAAGCATTATTAATGAATAAAAGTATTACTTTACTTTGAATGGTTTTGAATGGTATTATTGCATTTAAATAAATCATGAAAATTTAATTATTTTGAATTACGTGAAATAGGATAAACATTAAATGTTATTTAAACTATACATATTATTTAATTTATTATTATTTGTTAAAAATATAATTTAAACTATATACATATAAAAAAATAAAGTAAAAATACAAATAAAAAAGGATAAAAATAAAAAGCAACTTATTTAAAAATGTACCAAAATAAAACAGAAAACAAATATTTTAAGTATTAATAAAAACTTCTGCCAACTTGTTACTTTAAGTTGAGTAAATCCTCCTCACTTGAAAAAATTAAGGTTGCAGCATTTCTACCCCTGACAACATAGAAAAAAATAATAGTAACACCAATAATAACATTGATGTCATTATTATTAACAACAACAACAAAATACTACTTAAATATTGGCAAAGCTAAAGAAAGACTTTTAATGTGAATTTTCATCTCACATTTACCTAGTTCGCTCTACAAAGAAAAACGCTTAGCACATGTGGACTGATAATTTGTATTTAACTGTTATGCGGATATATGAAAATTTTTTCCTAACAAAATAAGATAAAAATTAGATAAAAAGATCAAATAACATATTGAACTTTCAAAACAACTACCCAAATGATAAATCAAACGCTCAAACAATCAAATATTAAGTCAAAATGCATTCTCAAATGAGAAATCAAATGTATTTGATATTTAAAATTCATTAACAACTCTGTTAATTTCTGTAACAATTAAATGGCAAATCAAATGCTCAACTAAAAATTCAAATGGAGGAACCCGATTACACACACATAGCTGGAAGCTCACGATGGACTGATTACTAGGACTATAAAAGACAACTTATTCTCACAGACCCTTTGCTGAGTCTTGTTTTTCCATGTGAAGCATTACAAAACATTTTGCATAACAAATAAATCTAGTAAATGTTTTGTTAACATTTGTCTCTGTTTTAGTTTTTTTTTTTTATTGAACTATGTTTGTTTCTTCTGATAATGTTTTGTTTTTTAGTACCAATTTCCAAAGGAGTTTTTTTGTTCACTCAACTTCAAACATTTCAGGTCAGTGCAGCAGATGTTTTCAAAAATTGAGTTAACGAAAAAAATGAAAGAAAATAAAAATTCTGAGATTATCTGTTTACTCAACTTGACCATTTTAGGTCAATGCAGCTGATGTTTTCCAAAGTTGAGTACACACAAAAAAAAAAACCTGAAAGAAAATAAGGATTATGAGTTTTTTTGTACGTAACTTCAAGCATTCCAGTTCTGCAGACAAAAAAAAAAAAAAAAAATGTTCAGTTAGCAAAACTAAAAAGAAATAAGGTTTCCATACCATACATTTGACCAGCTAAACATTAAAGCACAATTTGCAGCAGTCGCCTGTTTTCCCAATGTAATCTGAGCGATCTACCGCACGCACATTGCTATAAAGACACTATCTGAAGATGAATTTGCATGCGTGAATCAGAAACATTTCCATTCAATAAATGTGCAAATAAAATATGATGCTTATTGATATGAACTTATTGATGATTCCTACTTGTCTTTCTCGTGATAAATAGTTGGCAAAATCTGATATGTAGCGGGGGAAAAAACAAGAAAGAGTTCACCAAACGCTGGATTCGGGCCGAGTTCTTGCTCGAACGTATCAATTCATGATCACATTCGTCTTACGAGTAGCGCCACTGAGACTGTTAAGCATCCTGCAACATTTTACAGATATAAACCACACTATTTCTTTTTTTTAATGCACTCAGTGCGATGTTCAGACCCAAATGTGTTAACCGCATCAGCTAAACTCTCCCACTCTATTTTTTTCTTTTGTTGTTAATTCCGGAGAACAAACTTGCAAATAACACCGCTTTTCTCCGGTCTACCTCCGAAAGCAGCACCTCCAATTCACATTCTGTTCAAAGTTTCTCTTTTTGCTTGATTTTGACATTGCTTTTTCGTTGGGTTTTGCCATACGCATAGTCATTAGCATATTTATACGGGGGAGGAGGTAGGGAGGGGTTTTGTGCTCGTGCATGTTGCGCTCAGTTTCACGTTCATTCAGATGTACAAAAAAATATGCGTGAGATTCGGCGTACGCAGTGTTTCATACATCTGAAATTTTTTCTGCGTACGCACATTTACAGCTTTGTGCGTACGCAATGTTTTAGTAAGATTTCCACGCAAGTCTTCGTACATGAGGCCCCTGATGTTTTCAAAAGTTGAGTGAACAAGAAAGCGAAAGGAAATAAGGATTATGTTTTTTTTTGTTGTTGTACTGGCTTAGTTTACAGTGTAAGAATGTCATAATATAAGTAAAAGTTAATTGTCTTTAAATGATCTAGAATCACTTCACTAATATTTTTTTTTTGTGCTTTTTAACCCTCAGTAGAGTATTATTAGCTTAGCATATTTGTTTGGCACTTGCCTACTTCAAGAGTTGCCTGCTGTATTTGGATTAGTTAATTCAGTTTAGATACAGGGTTAATATACAGTCTTATTACACTTAGTTCATTTGATCTACTTTTATCTATGGTCTAATGGAGTCTGGTGACTTTGCGTTTCACCTGTTCGTGTGTTTCACCGTGAGACTCTGATGCACATGACATGGAGACGGCTGTGCCAGCTGCGGCGGTGGAGGTGGTGGTGGTGTGAGCGCTGGTGGTGTTAGAGTTCAGACTGTTGTAGTGACTGAAATCCTCCCAGAGCAAAAGCGTTTCCTCAGTCTCTTCCCACGCCAGGCTGTCACAGTCATCATCGAACTCAAATGTTTCCCTCCTGCCAACAAACCAATTAGCTGAGCAACCTCTGTGCACAAGACAGCCAGCGGACAGAAAAGAGGAAACACAGGGGGAAAAGGGAAAAAGAGGAAAAATAAAATAAAATGAACAGATCCACAATCCCAAAATTACAAACTAAGGATGTCAGTATATAAGAGGAGAACAAATATGTGACCCTGGAGCACATAAGCAGCCTTGTTAGCAAAAGTCAGATACATGTTGTATTGGTCTTTTATGAAAAAAATAAATAATAATAATAATAATTAGAATACTAAGTAAGATCATGTTCCATGAAGATATTTTGTACATTTCCAACTGAAAATATATTAAAACCTATCTTTTATTATTAATGCACATTGCTAAGAATGAAGCTTGAACAAATTAAAGGTGATTTTCTTGATATTTAGATTTTTTATTTTCTTGATCCCTCAGTTTTCAGATTTTCAAAAAATTCCATCTTGGCTGAATATTATCCTATCCTAACAAAGTATACATCAATGCAAAGCTTATTTATTCAGCATTAATTTGATGTATTAAACCCAATGTCCCCAAAATATTCAATTGCAACTGGTTTTGTGCTCCATGGTCACATATATATTAAAAATTGAATTACATGCAAAAAGACTGACTGTAATTAAATAATTAAAGAGGTTAAAAAGATCAAGTAAAAATAATCAGTTAGCAATAGCAACAAATGAAAAATATTGAGCATAAAAAAGAAAATATAGAGGACAGAGAATGAGCATGTTCATCATATGAACACTAGGTGGCAGAAAGTGTTTAGAATAACAAACAAACTCAGACAATCAGTTCTAGGCAGATTTTCTTTCTTAGATCCGTTAATAATGTTACCTCTAATAAGGTTTCTTAAAAAATAATAATATATAAAATGAAATAAATAAATAAACAAACAAACACTGATATCTTGGCAGATTTCCATTCAACAATGTAGACAGTTTATTGTGCACCAACGCAAAATTATTTATGAAAACTAATACCAGTTATATAAAACACTGCATCCTACATGTGTGTTGTGTTTTTAATGGGCTCTATGCACAGCTAGAGTTTTAAAGCCAACCATAAACTTCCGGTGAAAGCTTGATGTGACTATTTTCAATTTCACAATTGGCGGGGAGAAATGTAATTTTATGCAGTGCTTCTTGTCGGATCTTAACCCACATATTATCATATTAACAGGAAGTAAATATCGCTGATTTTTAAAGAAATCAGATTTTAAACATGAAAATTTTGTAATGGAAAGACGGAAGCTTTTGGGCTGCTGGCTAAGAATTAAAAGTCTGCGTGCATACAGCCCATTTGCATGTTTCATTGTACAATTTTACAATATAATGACAGCTATCTTTCAGCTCTGTATCATTCCCACACCATAACACAAGCCAGAATACCCAAACCTTCTACTTTCTGTTTACGGATATGCCAGGACACGTATCTGTGACTGATTTATGCACACAATTTCCCACAATTACCGCCTCAACAGGTCTAAATTATAAATGAGCTAACCATAGAGATACAAGCAAAAACAAAAAACAGCAAATAAGGCTTAGTTTGATGACAATCTGCACTGTAATAATAATGTGTGTGTGAAAAAGAAGAAAGTGTAGCTATAGCAAATGTATGTGTAAGCATGTTTTGTGGTTTTACAAAAATGTAGGCAGTGGGCATTTCCAATGAGTTAGGGTTCTTTAAAGTAGTACATTTTGAGCTACAAAAAAGTAACAGTGTAAAATAATTTACTAGCATGTATATCCATGATCGTGGCTTTCCTCTGCTCACAACTAACGTTGGTGTCAAAAAACACATCAAGAATGTTTTTGATGCCAATGTTAGAGCTTAGTTTGATATTGTTTTGTCATCATGGTAGTTTACATGCATTGTTAGGATACAAACTCCAGAGTAAATTTGTTTTTTGGAATTTAAGCTGAATGATGAATGCAAGTTTTCTAACTTTATAAAATTTTTGTGTCATTATTTTTGTGGTCAAAATGGCATCAAAACGTCAAATGAATTTTAACGTTTTGACATCAAATTGATTTCATGTTTTTAAATGTCGTTTTGACATCAAGGTACCTGCTAATTTACAGGAACTAACTCTAAACTTTCATTGTAAATAGCTAGAAACCCCTAACAACAAATGCACTTACAAGCACTAAAACCAAATCATTCACACAAATGGAAGAATGAGAAGATGTTACGAGGACTCACAGCTGGTTGAGCATCCTCTTCATCTCATCAGTGATGTTGAGAGAAGCAGGCACATCCTCCTCATGATGAGTGCAATCACCATCAGCCTCCACTCTCTGCTCCTCTGAGTCACCCTTACACTCCTTTCTCCTGCATACGACCATCCCCTACAACAAAGACACACACTGATTTTTATACTGTACAAACTGTATATTCTGTCTCAAGCCTTTCTCTAAACCAAACCCTCACAGAAAACATTACACATTTTTACATTTTGTTCAAAGTAAAATTCTTATTAATGTATAATTTAGATCCGTTTTGCTCATGAGGAGCTACAAATATCCCCACATGGTCAGAAATTACTGGCTATACCATATTTGAGGGGACAATTGTTCTTTAATTGTAAAAAACAACAAGATTAAAGACACACAACTCTCTCTCTTAAATTTTGTTATAGGAATAGCTAAACCAGTAGTCTGTTGCAGCAGAAAGACATGATACAAACAATAACTGATTGATTTAATTCATAGTTAAAGAGGATCTTGATATTTGCAAATATTTGGTGTTGCAGTAGTGCTGCTATGTAATTTCTAGTTGAAAATGAAGTGGGTATTTCAACTTGTAAATCAATAGGTATATGTATACAAATATATATTTTGATTCCTTCAAAATGTATTAAAGATATATTAAAATTAAAATTATCTTGCATACACATGTACTCTCTCAGATTGCTGGAAGACTGCAATTGCATGATAAGCTGTTATATAAACTCCACAAACTATAAATCAGATTTAGGCTCCTGATTAAGTAAAATTGTTAAGAGCATTATCTGAAGCTGTGCATCATTAACAGAGACTGGAGGTTAACGCACTCCTTTCTGCTCGACTGAAGCTCTGGATGAGCTGCCGTGCAGTATTTTAGTCATGTCCTCCGAGTTTCTCTGCTGGGCCACATCACACAGCTTGGCCGTGATGTCAATGCGTCTGCAGATGTCCATATCTACCTTCATGGCTTTCTCCTGGATTTTACTGTCCAAGTCAGACACTTCCTGTACAAGAATGCGCAAGAATGTTAAGAAAAGTCATTTGAGGCTAAATTGTCTTGCACAGATTTAGCATGACATTTATTTATTTATTTATTTTGTAACTGACCTAATTTGCTATTTAAAATATGCCTCAAATGTACTATATGCAGAAAGTAAATATTCTATCAAGTCTTAAAGCAAATAAGGAAAATACATTAGAACATTTAGACTTTATTACATTTTAAAAAACTTAATATCTATCTATCTATCTATCTATCTATCTATCTATCTATCTATCTATCTATCTATCTATCTATCTATCTATCTATCTATCTATCTATCTATCTATCTATCTATCTATCTATCTATCTATCTATCTATCTATCTATCTATCTATCTATCTATCTATCTATCTATCTATCTATCTATCTATCTGTATGTATGTGTATGTATATATATATATATATATATATATATATATATATAATTTTTATATCAGAATCAGAATTAATCAGAATTATTAGCCCCCCGAATTATTAGCAATTTCTGTTTATCATCGAGAATATTTTTTTCAACACATTCCTAAACACAATAGTTTTAATAATCCATCTCTAAAAACTGAATTATTTTATCTTTGCCATGATGACAGAACAGAATATTTTACTAGATATTTTTCAAGACACTTCCATACAGCTTAATGTGACATTTAAAAAGCTTAACTAGGTTAACTAGGCAGGTTAGGGTAATTAGGCAAGTTAATGTATAATAATGGTTTGTTCTGTAGACTATTGAAAAAAATATAGCTTAAAGAGGCTAATAACTTTGTAATTAAAATGGTGTTTGAAAATTTAAAAAATTTGCTTTTATTTTAGCCGAAATAAAACAAATAAGACTTTCTCAAGAAGAATAAAAAAATATTATCAGACATACTGTTAAGATTTAATATTTAAAAAAGAAAAAAAATCAAAGGGGGCTAATTACTTAAAAACTATTTTAATATTAATCATGATAAAAAAAGGCAAGTTTATTTATATAGCACATTTCATATATAATGGTAATTAAAAGTGTTTACATAAACAGCAAGAAAAAAACTAGAAAATAAAAATGATTAAAATAGTTAAAAATGATTAAAAACAGTCATATTTTGAATTTCATTTTAGTATTTTCATTAACTCCACTTTTCATTAGCTGCCAGTGCACTTTTTAAAGTTTAAATGTATAACTTGACATTTAAAATATGACTTTTTGACTGTTTTTATGACTCAAAATATGACTGTTTTTAATCATTTTTAACTATTTTAATCATTTTTATTTTCTAGTTTTTTTCTTGCTGTTTATGTAAACACTTTTAATTACCATTATATATGAAATGTGCTATATACATAAACTTGCCTTTTTATCATGATTAATATTTAAATAGTTTGTAAGTAATAACACATGGAAGTTGGCTAACTGTCCAGAAGTAAATGAATAAAATAATAAATAAATGACCTCATAAAAACAAATATTTCCATCTTAGAATTGCAAAATACACAAAGAATTTCAATTCGCAATTTCTATGTAGCATTTTTTTTTAATCTTGACTTTTCTCAGTTTACAACTTTATTTCTCACAATTGTGTCTCCATAGACTGCCTTGCAATTGAAGGATCTAATCTTGCAATTTTGAACTATGAGAAACTAAATGAAAAAAAGAGAATTGAGTTAAAGTTTTCTTTTTTGTTCATTTGCAGAAATAACCTTCAACAATAACAACAACAGCATATTACATTATACTATATTATATTATAAGCCTAAAATAACTCAAAAGTCAGATAAAAAAGCTCAAAGCTCATCCGGCAGCAACAGATGGCCCGGCTTCTTTTTGTGTTCATTGACAGTAAGGAACACATCCAGGGAAGCAGCACTCAACTCTGCTGTATTACTGGGACAGAGCAACATCAACTCAACACGAGAACAATATACATCTGTTCCAGGCCCAGAACTGCCTGCCTGCTTCACTGTCTGTTTGTCCACACTGATCTATGGCTATCTATTCAGCCTAATGGCAAATTTACCTACAGGTTCATCTTAATTTCCCTGACAGTCAATCTTGTAATCTCTCACAGCTGCCGTCAAACGATATTGCTGTTTCCGCTGTTTTAATGAGGCAGTGTTGTAAAAGGAGATTTGCATGTTTTGCATGTCATTGGACAGCAGATATAGAAGTACACTCACATCATTAGGCATGAGGCTCTTGAAGACCACCAGCTCTGTTTTAAGACGCTCAACCTTCTCATTCAGTTCTCCTTGTGCCACTTCAGACGACTGAACAGTCTGTAATGAGAGGGTTTCGAAAATTTAGCAGTGCATAGTAAAAAAAAAAAAAAAACTAAATAAAGGGTGAAAATGAAGGTAATAGTTTCCATGGCTATTTTTAGCTAAACTCATTTACCTAATTATTTTGATACAAGGTTTTGTGTAGCTTAAATGCTAGAAAACTACAGTAATCAAGCCAATCTTAATTACATTGTCTCTGAATATTTCTTAACAGTGAGAGCTATGAATAAAAGAGACAACTTGACAGTTTTCAGTTTCTCTGGATTTACTGGACGTTTTTTTAATGTATGAGTTTGAGCAAAATGTTTTATTTTGTTTTATTCTAAATGTCTGACAAGACTTTCTTCAATTTTCAAATTACAATTGTGTCATTTATAGCATTCTCTTCCTGAAACATAACAATTGGCTAGAATATGAATATTTTGAATAAAATATTTAACCAATTATTGATTTCTTAACTTTTGATGATTAATAAATGCTGTCCAAGTATTGTTCACATTTAGTTCATGTTAATGAATACATTAAAGGTGCAGTATGTAATTTTGACACCCAGTGGCTGAACTAGATATTGCATTCCCGGATCAAAACAAACGCAAGTGCAGGTTGCCAGATTGACGACACCAACCTTGAGACAATAGAACCTAATGGCTGATTTAACCCTGTTCTAAATAAAAGCAATGAAACACAATAAAAGTAATATTTTCTATATTAAAATGAGTTTTGTTCTAACCAACTCCTTAATTGATATATTAGAAACAGCCTCTATTTAAAACAGGTAAACAACAGGATAAATTGATCACCTCAGGTCCAGCTCATGTGCTTTTTTCAGTGGTAAATGTTAATATTGTGAGTTTAAATGCCATTTTACATGACATTTATTGCCTTACTACTGAAAGCAGCAGCAGATAGTTTACCTCAGATGTTGAAAATAAAATAAACCGTTTGAAATTAAACTTTAGAACTGTGACTTACTATCAGTGATTCATCATGTAATAATGTTAAAAAGATTTAATATATATTAAATAGATTATAAACCTTACCATTTAGTGAGTGAGTGAATAATTTGTGCTTCTGAATGGCTGTATTTAAATTTCTGTCGTGTTCCGTCAGGTGCAAACAGCAAAATTGCTTATCACTGCGAATCTCATCATGCAGCATGTTGTTTGGACATGCGGTTACAATGTAACCTGCTCACCTAATATTTACATTGATAATATTTATTTGCTAATTAATAACCTCATGTGGATCTCTGTATCTGCATCTCATTTCGGAGGCTGCTACTGTCCATCGGAGGTCGCAGTTCAGTCACGGACATATGCTTTAAGAGTCTTTCAACAAGGCAACCCGGGGTGCAGAAATATAATTGGGTATTCCAACAAGTCATGAAACAAAAAAACACAGAGCTGAAACTTGGTACTGTTTTCTTAATGACACTGGAATTAACTACTGTAAAGCTAGACATACATCAGTGCAGATGTATGGATGTCAAACTTCAAACCAGTCACTATATAAACGATTTAAGGTCTCACCTCCTGTAAAGTCTCCACCAGAGACTCCATCTGCTGACGTTTGGAAACCTCTTCCTCCCATCTGAAACACAACAACAACAACCCAGTTTGTCAATGTGATAAAGTCATGATCTAACGTCAGTTTAATTATACTGTAATTACTATGACTGACTCAAAGAAGAACAAAAGTTATTAAAGTGATTAAATTGACCACTCATTTAATACTGCTTAGTAACACAACAGCATGGAAATCCTGTACAGACGTCTAAAAGGCACAGCATGTTCAGTCCGATACTCAAAGGAGACCTGAGAAAAACAAATATCCACACACTGCTGATGACCATTGAGAATCTTCCCGAGACCCTTGAAAGACACTAACAAGCTCCCTTAAAATCACTATGGAGACTGTAAAGCATAGTAGAACATGCAAATAAAAGCCTAGATTTTGCAGGAGAAATCTGTGAGGCTTTTAATTGTGCTAGTTTCTCCACTTCTTGCCTTTTAGTGACCGAGAATGCCCTTGGTTTAGTCTTTAGTGTTATGGTTAAATATATTTTAAAGTCAGTATCTAAGGTGATATAATACAAAGATCTTACACGGTAAAGTTATTACATCTTTATATTGATTTGGTCTTGCATAACACGTAAACAAACATACAACATGACAAAGAGAATCCAAGAATTCACTAACAAATTATTCCTATTCATTATTAGGAGTTCATTATTTTCAATAAATCAGAAGTCTGACTCTAGAAAAAACAAAGCAGCTCTTAAAGGGACAGACCACCCAGAAATGAAAATCTTACTAATCCTGTATGACTTTCTCACTTCTGTGGAAGTGCCGTGACTTCCATTGTGTGGACTAACATGACGTTTGTTTACAAAAGAGGTTTGACGTTTGTTTTAAAAGAGGTCTGAGTACATTGATGCATGATGAGAAATGAAAATGTTTTTCCTTTGCTTTTTCAAAAGTTGTAAACACATTCTAATGCTATGTTTCACATAGTTTCTATAAATGTGCTAAAAGTGACTAAAAAAGAAAAACTGCAGACTGAACATGTCAAAATTAAAGTGCAAGATTTCATTTTTATAGAAACTACATTATTTTTATTACTAAATTTAGATTAAATTGCTTTTAAAAAGGTGGGAGCAAGCTTCTGTCTGAGTCACTAAATCATCCATTCAATCCACAGTTGATTCATTCAGGAATTGAGTGAAGCTAATATCTACATGAATGTCTAATATCTACATGAGTACAGTCACATGGACACCAATAATCAGATTTTAATGTGATTAGGACAATACTCTGATTAAGAGTCTACCATGTAAACAGTGATTTTTTATTAATTTAATTTGATTAAAGTCATAATCGAAAAAAGAAGAAATGGAATTAAGACATGTGGAGTATGCTGATTTTAGTCACACTATTTAAGTGCAGTACAGACACGTAAACAACGTAATTAAACTATTACCATCATGTAGTATTTTCACTGCATTTTGAGACTGGATAGTTTATACACACATGGCCGTTTGACAGTATTCTCTGCACCTACTGAGTCAGTGAAGGATCACAGACACCTGCATCGCAAAATGCTGATTTTTTTTTCCTATACGGCGTGCGGTATCAAATTCCATTCAATCTTCACTATTCCAGCAGTTCAAACTCGCATCGAATATCTCGTTTGTCACGGGGGGCATGCAAGAAATGTTCCCGAATGAAAGTGAAAGTGCCAAACAGCAGTTTAAGTCGACAAAATAAAAATAAAACACTCAAAATTACATGAAATTCAGAAGGAAACAAGTCAGATAGCTCAATGACACAATGACGTTAATCGAGTTATCTGCTATAACATGTAAAACGGGATCATAAAAAGGAACATTCAAATGCAACTCATGTAGACACCTTAATCATATTATTGTCTTATTCAGGCAAATAATTTGATTACTAATGTCAATGTAAACGTAGTCATTGACTCACCCAAAACGGTCAAAACATTTTTTCATTCATCCACAAAACACAGCTTGCACTGAGACGCACAGCAGTTCTGTTGTGAGCCTTCATCTTGTGAATTGAGCTGCTCTCAGATGAGAGAAAACGACGGATGATGAACTGTATACTTCAATTTCAAGAAGTAGCAGTCTTTTGTGATTTGATACGAGGATTATTGAGCTTTTTGTGGTATTAAGGCTTATTGTGATTTCAATTTTAGTTAGGGCGACATTTATGTTCATTCTTTCTTTATTTTTCTTAGTACCTTTATTTATCAGGAGTCGCCACAGCAGAATGAACCACCAACTTATTCAGCACATGTTTTACACAGCCATTCCAGCTGCAACCCAACACTGGGAAACACCCATACACACTCTTGCACACACACTTCACCCAATTCACCTATGCCACATCTTTGGACTTGTGGGGAAACCGCAGCATAAAGAGGAAGGGGAAAACATGCAAACTCCACACTGCCAAACTCCAAACTGACCCAGCTGGGGCTCAAACCAGCAACCTTCTTGCTGTGAGGCGATTGTGCTACCCACTGTGCCACCATTTATGTTGTAACAGGAATTTGAAATATTTTTGGATTATTATGAAACTGTGGGGGAACATAATACTGGGCTGCTACAGTCTGGTTAATGAATTGTAAACACCAGTTTAGTTTTTCAAAACCCTGAAGACTACTTGCAAATAAAAACAAATACACAATAAACATTCTCATGATTTAATAGAGTGCATGCATTTGGTTTTCTCATTTACTAAATAAACATAGGCTCATTCTGAAAATGTAGCCCTATATACATTTCTGGAGATGTTAAATTATGTAGCCAGAGCTTTCTATGGCTGCATTTCAACTTTAAAACAAATGCTATGGGCGGTATGACACTGCTCCTTTTCTCACTTATTAGCTGACCGCTTACATTCATATGGACGGCTGCTGTTACCAGTTTTTTCCCAGTAGGTCAACATGTAGGACGACTTGAGAAGCAGAGCGAACTTGACTGCGACAGCAGGGTTCAAGTCTGGTATAGAACGGTTCCAGGAAGCAGTTAAGACATAAACAAAAGCTAAAAAATAATATAAAAAAGTAGTTAACAGGGTGAGAATGTGGTAAAATCTGAAAAAATGTGGTAAAATCAGACAAGGGCTTTTCTTTTTCTGGTTTGCTTTTTAAAACGCTGCGGTAAGGTTTAGGGAAGGGGGTGGATGGGTCTTTCGGTACTTTTTAAAACACTATTGGTTGGGTTTAGGGAAGGAGGACAATGGGTCAGTCAATTGGTCAGCCAGTCAGTCATTCAGTCAGTAGACAGTCAGTTTACAATGGCCTCTGATGGATTTACAAGAGAACAGCAGGCGTGAATGGCACTCGTGAGAGAAATTTGGGATCTGAAAAAGCATACACAGCGGCCTCTAGTTGATTTGAGAAAACAAAAACGGCAAAAAACGTAGCTCCTGGGATGTATTATGCTCTCTACCTCCTAACAGCTGCTGGTGCTTTATTCCTCCTCAGTATTATATCCACAATCTTTGAGAAAAGGCTGCTTTATTAACGGTCCTGCTTTGATATGATGATTAGCAAGTTATATCGATTATCACTACATTACAAAATTTTAATGCTAAACTATAATTTAACATGAGTATAAAAACAAAAAGTACACAAGGATTTTATGCACACAATTGACCTATAACGAGGCCATGGTCAATCATGAACGCTCTCTAGTAAATTAAGGGAGCTACAGGGATTAATACATATTATTATTTTATTATCTGTGTGCGATGATGTACATTAACATTAAAATGACACTGTTAGATAGTTTTATAGCAAATTATATTTTACACAACAAACTATACACATACACATACATATTATGAAAACCTGGGGTCTGTTCTTCATACCTCGCTTAAATGATCTAAGATGATTTTGCAGATCCTGGATATTTTAATCTTGATAATTGATCTCTGGCTAATTTGGTTCTTTAAACAACTTCACAAATTCAATTATCCAAGTGAGCAAAATTACATAAAATTTGTAGTAAACAGTTTGTTAAATATGACACGCAATAACTTTCCACCTTTGTTGTGGGATGCATGCTTTACACTTTCATGTGTTAAGAGTATTTATTAATGTATTTAGTTTTAGATTTAGAGTTAATTTTCTTCATTGTAGTGGTCTAGGCCTATTCAAGTTTTTTAATCGACATAAGAAATAATGTACAAATAAATTTTGCATTAAAAAAGCTATTTGAAATCGATAAACGTGTCTGCAACTTTTGTAAAGCATTAAATCACCGTCATATTAGTTATCCAAACATTTGCATGATTTCATGAATTATTATTTCTTTAAAAAAAAAAAACCTCTCAAATATTGTCATATATATATCATACACATATATGTCTATCATCATACACAAATTGTACTAAAGCTGAATCTGTACCATAAAACAGTTTTCGATTGTATGTACAAAGTCCAGATTAATAAATGTTCTCTTTGATCCCTTGGGAAGAATGACCCTGTGGCAGTTTTTGTACTTTTATTTAGCAGTGCAGATTGCATTTTTGTTTTATTTTTAGATTTTTTTTTTTACTTTAAACTTGATCTGTAACTATATATATTTCTTCTTCTTATTATTATTTTACTATTTTCCCAAGTGTAACTTCTACTGTAAGAAAATATCAGCATTCGGTAAACTTTCAGTATTGGATTTGCTTGAAATGACCCAATATAATACCGCTTATATAAAATAAGCCTGCTCCTGAGCAGGTTTGAGCTACTGTTGCTATGACAATAACTCTCTGATGAGTTTTAAAGAATAAAATTATCCTGGATCGTGTCAAATCATCAATAACCAAATCCAGCTAATTGAGTAATCCATCTACGAAGAATGGACCCCTGTTCACAATTTTTCAAAAATAGACAAGGAAGTCAGGGAAGGTCTTGATTTTAGTTTCCTTATGTTAATCACACATTGGTAATGATACAGTAAAAATGAGATGAACACATTTGTATCTTTTCTTTTCCTCTCAGCCTTAAAGTAATGAGATCTAATAACTTGTGCATCGATACGTTAAATTACCACCTGTAGAACC